GAGGAGATTAGATAGGCATCTGGCTGGGGTCATCTGAACCCAGCACTCTTTCCTGCCTATGCAGGGGGTCGGACTCAATGATCTATTGAGGTACCTTCCGACCCTAACATCTATGAATCTATGAAACCCTGGCCAATACTCGCATGCTACCGGGGGGAAGCCCTACGCAATGGAGCTGGCTACTTTCCCCACTCCCTGCTGAATTCTGATTCATGGTTACTCTTAATGATGCAGATTTCATTCCTTAATTTTTTAAAATTTTAAATATTCACTAAAATGTGAATTATTTAAACCACAAATTGCTTGAACATTAGTCATGTATGTAGAGAGAACCTGTACTAAATTATTTCATCACAAATAATACAGCATAATTGAAATTCTTTTTTACTTTGGAATTTTTTTTCCCAATTGCATAAGCATTCTTTCTTTCTTTTTGTTCCTCTGCAAGTCATCATAGTACTTAAATTAATTTCGAAAGTATAATGGAAAGTGTTGGATCCCAAGCAATTAAAAAAAACAAAAACTTAATTCAATACAGTGCACTTTGTAGCAGCAGACTGACTGGGATTTTTTTTTTAATATACACAGAGTACCTCCTCTTACTTTAATGAATGACTTTTACAGAACGTGAAGCTGTCCTGCATGCCATTTTTTTTTTCAGACCACAGATACATTCATGGTAACAAAGATTACAATCAGTTTTGCTTCTTGTCCTTCCACTTTATTCATAATGTTATTCAGAAGCATATGAATATCAAGAGTACAGCCAGCTCGTCTTGTTATGAGACTGCTTTAGTGAACCACTTATGGTAACAGTCATAGCTACTACATACATAGTATTCCGTGTTTTCAGTTATTATTTAACAAAAAAAAATCTGGGAATTGTTCAGCGTTTATTTTCCAAAACCGGGTTGAAATTGGGATAAAAGGAAGAAAAGAAAAAAATGTGGTTTAAATCGGGGAGACTATACATACACTATACATACAAAAGACCCAGTTCTTTGCCTCTGTATTTAATATAGTTATATCAGAACAAGAGCATTCCATACTGTGACTGACTGCTTGATAAAAGTTGTTAGTGAATAGGAGAAAGGACCCTGCTTTTACCCAAAGTTTAGAAAAGAAAACACATCAGATTACCTTTGGACACCTACTTGGTGAAGAATAACAAACCCATTCCATCTGGTCAGTCAGATGGGAGGAACATGAGTTTCTGATGAATACCAGTCCATGTCTTCCATTTGCTTTGCTCCACTGTGTCCTCTAAAGATTTTGAGTCACAATTCACACATTTTTCTCAAGCTTTGATCGTAGTGTGTTATTAGGAACAAGACTACATTAAGCATCCTTCCAGTGATAATAAGGAGCACCTGTCTCATCTGCATGATGGAGCTGATGCCTAGAAAATATCTTATTAAATTCCTTGTATAAACAAGTTCTCTTGTTCAGGACTGTGGCAAAATACAACCTTTCTTCCCACCATCAGGATATTCTGCCATTGATATTAGCATTTACATAATGGATTTCTCCTCCATAGTCTAGTGTAAATTGTTTTGCACACACAAAACAGAGTCCTGTCATCTCTCTTCTCACTTATGGAGGGGTAGGCTCTGAATCTTTAAAAGGTGGCTGGAATATTCCAATACTCATACATATCACATTCTTACTACTAAGGCTGCAGCACAAGGGGAGAAATTTAATTTGAAATTAGAAGCCTGCAATGGTTTTTCCTGCTCTGTGAAGAAAGATAGCCTTGACTCCCTGATCTTCCCATTTATGGTCCTATTTTTAAAATGTACTGGAGTTTGATAGTAATCATACAGTAGCAGCAGTATATATTGTGTTTTGAACTGTAGTGATGCTATCTCCATAGCAATGAGAAAGGAAGAAACTGGCTGCATCTACACGAGATGCTTACTGTGCAGTAGCTCATTGCTACTGTGCACTAGTGTCATAGGACACGAACTGTGGCACAACGCTACAGTGCAGTAACGCCAGTTACTGCACAGTCATTTAGTACTTGGGTATGCAAGTACTAAATGACTGCTCAGTAATAAGTGCACAGTCAGCACCTCATGTAGACGTGACCACTGCGAATGGAACGTAATAGGTATTTACCAGCTCAAACGCATCCATATTTGTTTGTAAGAGTGGCAATTTATGGTTCCAGCCGCTTGGAACTTGTAGGACTGGCCTGCTAACACATGTCTGAAGAAAAAGAATTCCTTTGAGGGGCCAGTCTTGTACCTGGGAGAGTAACAGTGATGACCAGAAGTAATGCTCCTGGGAAAGAAGTTCCTGCTTTTCTGTGTTTTCTCTCTCACTATTATCTGATAAGAACCATTACAGACTATTATATAATAATGGAGTCTATTATATATTTGTGAGACGTTAACTCATATTGTAAACATAGGCACTGTCATACTGTATATGAGTTATGGTCCATGTAGATCACTATTCAATCTCCAACAGCAGCCTTCACAAGAAGCTTTAGAGAAAGCAGATATGGGGTCTCATCCTTATTCTCGGAAGTTAGATATTCCTGTAGGCCACAGGACAAGACTTGATATCCCTTCTAAAACTAGTTAGGATGAACTACAGCAACTCTGTATTCTCTTACATAAAAATCACTCTGCATTTTGTTGTTTTGGGCCTTACTTGAATTAATTATCTAGCAGTATTAAAAAAAAAGAATGTCAACAATGTAAGTTTGCACAAGTTTTTAATCCCATATCACAAACAGAAAAAACATTTCGTAGGTGTAACTGTTACATGCTACAAATACATATATGTATATGTTACAATTTTAAATATTGGGCCACTCACTTTAACCACTGCTTCTTCAAACATCTTTTGCTCATGTCCCTTTCTTTATGTGTTCAGCTTGTTGTACAACAGATATTATTTCATTGTTTCCATACGTCTCCCATATGGAGAATTCTTAGAGATGGTTACAACCAGAGATAACAGCCACTTTTGTATCAGTACTTTTTAGTTAATTCCCATAGTAAAGCACCATTAAAAAGGTATTAGAGGAGCTTGACAGCTGCTTTATACTCATATTAATTTGTCTTAGCACTAAACATAAATCTTAGAATTCATCACATTTTTCTGTCTATGAACCATTCAGCTTAAGGAGACAAATAGACCCTTGGTTTAATTCCTCTGGCTTCGATATTGTTACTCCATGGATTAATTTGGCCTAATGATTCTGCATTTCCTACCCCAATATGGTATGAAACACACAGAAGTGGGACTGTAATTTAGACAGCTTTGTAGTATTAATGCAATATCATCACTGTGTTACTCAACACCTTTCTACAAAAACCTTACACCACTAAATAGCAATTCAATTACTCTCTGAGCACTGTTGGCTCCCTTTTGCTAATACCTTAACCAAAGAAGCCTCTTATTCATTTCAGCATTAAAGTGATACATAATGACAAGTCAAACAAAAATGTAAGATGGAAATGGCTCACTAATCTACTGCACTGGGAAACACTGCTCGACCACAGAAGTGCTAAAGAAAACTAGCATCTTAGTACAAAGTTAGAAAGAAATGACACAAAAATGTTCAAGTACTAGAGCAACATTTTTTTGGAGTGCATACACAGCAGCACCTTTCTAATGTGACCACTCAAGAGACTGATAAAAATTGTTTGCTATTTGAGGGTACTTTTCCACTGACACTGCTTGCTATGTGCTATTTTACATTACCCTTCTAATTTCCAAAAGGTGCTTACATTGAAATGATAAAATGGGCTTGATCCTGCTCCCATTACATTTTGATAGCAAAACTCCCACTGATTACAATAGCAGCAAGGATCAAATCTCAATTTCTTTTCCAGGATACTAAGCTGAAAAGAATCATGAGAACTGACTGAAACATTAACGAGCCATTGACAAAAAAACCCCATTGCCTAAAGTTCTACAGGACAACCAATGGAAATTGTGTCACCCATTAGAAAATCTAGAACAACATAAGGTGCATGCAAGAAGCATATTTCAGCTTTATCATTTTACTGAACCAAACCCTACCTGCCAATATAACCTTTGAGAAAATGCACACAGCGAAGTGGAACTCTAAAGGTCAGGAGAGAATGAATTGTCTCAATTTGTGAAATACCATAGGCTAGGATTATTCAAAGGTCAGGTCATATCTGGCTCAAGAGGGGTTAACATGTGAACCCAGGCCCCCCCCTGCAGTGGCCAGGGTCTCTGGGCTCCCCTTCCCTCCTTTAACTTTGTGCTCCTGCCCCTGTGTCTGGGGGTGGGGTGGTGGAAGGGCACTACACATGTGGCAGGGAGAGAGCCTGAAAGCCCAGGCAAGGAGGAACCCAGGCTGCTTGCAGCTGGGAAACTTGGGCTACTTGTGCTGTACATTAAGTGAGAGAGAAGAAGTCAGACTGCTCCCATGGTGGGGGAGACCCCAGGGTCTGTGATGGCTGCAGCATACAGCCCCAGCATCTGTGGCTAGAGTACTGTGCTGCTCCTTGTCATCCAGAAGATGGACAGTCCAGCTATCAGGTAGGGCAACAGTTCCAAGTGCTACATCCCACCTTATTATACAAGTGTTAAGTTGGTTGATCTCTGATAGCCATTTCCATAACAAGTTTTTCTCTGACCCATTTCGCACTCCAAAGACTATGCTCTGCACATCTCTGAAGAGCTGGTGTACAGCACTTCTCCAATGTGTGAAGATTTTCTAACGTGTGTCCACTCTCTAGTTTCTCAAGTACCTTCATCTTTGCACATGGAAACTACAGTTTGGTTTGGTTTAGCCTTCTATGTTTTCACTGGGGATTGGGAGGCCAAGATTTGGTTCATTCTATCTTCCCTTCTTCTTAAAATTCAACTGAAGCAGGGGTGGCCAACTTGTGGTGTGCATGCCACAAATAGCATGGGCACCCTGTGTGTGTCCCATGTGGCAGATCAGGGAGGGAACAGACAGCACAGCAGCAGATAGGGCAGGGAGCAGGTCGAGCCAGAAGCATAGGGTAAGAAGCAGAAAGTAGAGCAGCAGATCAGATAGGGGAAGGGGATAAGAGTGGCACTCAGGGAGGGTGGAAGGCTAATTTGTGGCATGCCTGCCAAAAATGTTGGCCCACACTAAACAAAAGGATCACACTTCCAACATTGCTGAGTTGTGTTATTGGTGGAGAGTAGCTGTTTCATTTAATTCTAGAGTTTGGTTGTATTTCAGAATAGAAACCTGAAACCTGTACAATGAAAGGTACTGCAAAAGTCACTTACTGAGAATTTTGTCATGCTTTTCAGGTTTTCTTTTTCACATGGTGAACACAGCTGCAATGGCTAGGAGTGTTGGGGGGAAAAAAACTTTCACTAGCATAGCTTTGCAAGACCCAACTTCCTGCCCTATCCCTGTAAAAACATTCCATTTTTGGGTACAGTATTTGTAATTCTCAGAAATATTGAGAAATTATTTCTTTTGCCAGTAAAAGCTGCCTCTCCATTAGGCATCTTGGCTGATATAACCATACCAATGCCCGATAGCGTAGATTAGTTCTCAGTCTAGTAAAAATGTGACGTTTTTAACCAGAACTACACCCTGATCTTTGACTGGCATCTTCCATGGAAGTGAGAGGGAGGGCTGGTTTGACCCCACATTGTCTATTTCAAAATACCAAGTGCATGAGCATTCTCACAATGCAGGATTTCTCACTGAGATACTGGCAAGTAGTCTCCTCTTGCATGAGAAGGCTGTTTCCCTGAAATTTTCACCAGCCATTTGGATCTGATTATAATTTAAATCTGAAGTGAAAGAAGATGACTGAAACTCAAGTCTCCCTTGTGTCTGTGGTTTTTTTGTGTGTTTTATTTGGCTCTGCACATACTTCCCTGGGGAGATGATTTTACAACATTTCAAGGATGACTTGGCCAGCTTTAACTTCAGTAACAGGAAGAAATGTACACACTGTACTGCTGCTCTAGTAATCTAGCCTGACTGCATTATGTTATAAAATCTACAACTGGTTCTGGAATATTTGAGAGAGGAGGAATATGGAGGTGTCACCAGGAAGAATGAAATACATACTAGCCAATGAGATCCTGCAGTTTAATGCTTTGTAGTACAGATGTGACAGTTAACTTTGACAGAGGCTGGGTGATAATCTGTCCCTCTGTGCAATCAGGGGAAAAGAAAACAAATGCATAAGACAAGGCCAGATAACAGTAGATTAGGCAGACTTATTCATAGAAAGATATCTTAAATAGGGCTAAATCAAGTTCAGTTGCAACAATACACGGACTAATATTTCAAATGTATTCTGGAATGTCATCATTTTATCTTTAATTTATGGCCTGTATTCTTATAACCAGGTGCATTATGCAGGGCAACCAGGATTCCCATGATTGAGTACTCACTAAAATAATAAAGACACCAATATACAAGTTTTATTGCTTATTGTAAGCTACCCTGAGCCTTTTTGGAGAAGGGCCACATATATGTCTAATAAATAACTAAATAAAGCAAATCAATTAGGACGTAAAAAGAAAAGCACTTTAATCTTTTTCTCTTGTAAAGAAAAAAGTTTTAAAATTAAGCAAGAGATAGTATGTTTGGTAGTAAAATATGGTGTTATGATTTCATAGACATTAGGGCTGGAAGGGACCTCGGAAGATCATCGAGTCCAGCCCCCTGCCCAAAGGGCAGGAAGTCAGCTGGGGTCATAGGATCAGAAGTATGATTCAGATCATGAGGTATTGGACTTGTTTGGACTCTGCCTTGGTATTAAATTCTGTGCTGGGAGCAGGAAGGGAAAAGCATATTTGGCTCAGAGGAATAAATGGACTAGTATGAGCTTCACTTGCTCTTATGAAGTGAGGACAGTTAATTGCATCTTAAAGTGTTACCTAGCCACATGTTCAGGCAAGTAACGGCGCAATAAAACTAGAAATAAGCCACAAAATTCTTACACAAAAAATGTGTATTGAGTGAGGGTTCAGGCAGGACCTTGGTGGCTGGGCCTGCAGACAGGCCATGGGAGGCAACTAGGAAGTTAGCAGGGTGGTTAGCAAAAGATATAGTCTGAGACACAAGCCGAGATCAAGGGTCAGGGAACTGATGCCAAGTTCCACGGAAAATCCGAGAACAGGGTAAAGGAAACCAAGGCAAGTCAGGATGCCAGGAAAACCAGAGAGAGCAGAACCAGCACCAAGTTTCAGGTAAGATCTGAGATCAGGGTCAAAGTTAAAGCCAGGTCAGAAGTCAAGAGAACCAGGGAGGGCTGTGAACGCATTGCTTGCTGGAACAGACTGAGGCTGTGAAGGCATGAATGCAGTCTGAGGCTGCAGGTATGTTTAAAAGGGGTGAGTGGTGCTTTCAGCAGCCAGTCTGGTTGCAGAGAATAGGGTCAGCCATACTGGGCCAAGGATCAGGGGCCCACATGGTAACTCACATGCCTGACTCAGCCAGGCCTGCTTGATCAGAATCCCTGACAATGATTTTCTGGCAGGTTTCCATTGGGCCTTGAATTGAACTGGGGTTCCCATCAGCCAACAATCACCTGATCACTGGCTGGCTCTGGGACCACACCAGGGTGTGAACAGGTCCTGGTGGTCCCTGCCAGTTGACAGTCAGCTAATTGTCAGCTGGTAGGGACAGGCTGGGTTCAGTTTGAGTCCTGGTTCTGCTGACAATCAGCTGATCGTGAATATGATTGGAACCAGGGCCAGTTCTGGTCCTGGTATAGTCCCTGCTGGCTGAGGATACACTGATCATTGGCTGGATTGATACTGCACAAGGGCTTGAACTCCACTGCAGTCCCAATCCTGCCAACAATCAGGTGATCATGGGTGGATTCTGGGGACTGAACTGCAGTTCAAATCAGTCCCTGTGGGTCCAAGAAGCCAGCCAACAATCATTGGCTGATTTTTGGCACCTGGCTGTCAACTTGCTGATGCAGGAGAAGTCAGAGACCACCTCCCTCTACACATGCAAGTAAGGCATGATGGAATCTAGTCCTTAATCCCAAAATCACACGTCCTGCCATGCATGTGTGGCATAGCAGGAGGTGCAATTGTTAGGATTAGGGATCATATCCCATTGTGCCTTTAAATAATGTCTGTTAGTGGCCTTAAAGCCTCAAAAAAGAGGATTGTTGCACAGACATCTCAGGCTAGCCTCTTTGGTTAGAACTATTATTCCTTCTTTATACATAATTAGAATAGCAGAGATGGAAATTCCCATGCTGTGATTCAGCATGGAAAGAGAGCCTATAAAGGGTTTACAAATTACCTTTGTAGTGAAAGGGTTGCCAATGGCTAGCTGATTGAAAATATGCGACTCCCACTACATAGCACTAAGTTCATACTTTGGCAAAGCAGTTCTACTTTATCTTCCCCTCATACTGTAAACTACCTTCAGATGGCATCAGTGGGAATATAATATTTGCTTTTAAGAACACTATTCCACACACAGGTTCTTTTACAGCTCTCATCACAACAGTGCCCAAGTGGCTTGGAATAGTGTACTCAGCAACATAAGTAACAGCTGTAGCATTTGGCTGCCTTATTGCTTCCACAGAAAAAAATGTGGGTGCTGCAGAATAATGGGATTTTGGCAGCAGCACTACTAAGTAACAGCAAGGATGTACCTGTGTTTGTTAAGAGGTAGCCTGGTTGAAAAGCATGCCTTGTGTTTGGAACAGGGAGTAGAGTGATTTCTGATGACAGCATTTTATTCTAGTCTTGGACTAAACCTTTGTGAAAGACAGTTTGATTGTAGGCCTCCCTTCCCTGATATTCTATAGGTGTTGGATGTAGGGTGCTAAGTACCTTAGAGATAAGGTTGAGACCTTTAACTTGATTCTTGAAAATGAACTTGAACTTGTTGATGCAAAATTTGGTTCTATTGTGCCATGAAGTACAGAGCCTTGACTATAAAGAAAAGGCTATAGTGTTAAAGCAAGCAATTTATTTTATTTTTCTTAAAGGAAGTTCAAGCTGGCTAGCTGCAACAGAATGTAGACTGAACATTGAAAAATTGTTTAAAAGGAATAAAGTCATCCTTCTGGCTACATCTGTATTAGGGAAATTCTTTTAAAAGGAACCTTCCAAAGGTGAATTACCTCTGTTTTTAACTTTGCCCTCAAAGACAAAAATAGATTATTCACAAAACTACTGACCAGAAATGGGGCTTTCCTCTTCTAATTCATGGTTCAAATTCAACCCAGATAAACGAGCATTTTTTGTCCAATACCTGGTTAAAAGTATGCAAGAAATCAGCTGGTCATTTTAGCTCCTGTTTATATTAGGAAAATAATCCAGTAGTGACAAAAGTGTCACCAACTGGTCTCAGTGGCCTTCTTCTATGGGCAGCAAAGCTAGCCATGAACTCATGGGATCTGGCCCACAGGCAGCCAGTGGTTCCAGCTCCAGCTGCTGTGCCGGTTGTGTGGGACCATTTCTGCAGTGCTGAGTAGCAGTGACTGCTTCTGCCCAGTGCTGACATGGCAGCGTCAGCTGTGGACTTGTGCGGATGCCCTGATCCCCACCCAGGACCTGCCAGCTGATGCTGTTGCCCACCTGGGTCTGCTTCCACTGTGCTGGGTAGGTGCAGAGAGACAGACAGACAGACACTTGAGAGGACACCAAAACTCATTAAGTGGCCTTCAAGCCAAAAAAATTGGTCACCTCTGATCTCCAGTATATTGTTTCAACACCAGTAAGTAGCAAACATGGGTGAAGATCAAAAGCAAAACTGTCTAAGCTAAAGATGGAATCCATTACACAGAGGAACATCATGATATAGATAAACTCCAAATTCCTGGGATCACTTTAACACAGAACTGAAAAATGGTGGAAAAGTAGACTGGGAGCTTACACTGAGTTCCTCTTGTCGAGAAAACACAGACAGTAGCAATTTATAATGCATACAATCACTTGTTTTGCATAAGCATTACCATTTACTTAACCAAAAAAAAAAGGCCCATTTATACAGACATACAATCCTGTTCTACTCAAGCCCAGCACTGGATGACACCTCATATCTAAGGTAGCCATTTCCAAAGAGACCCCTTGTTTTACATTGTAATCACAGTGGTCCATGACTAGGCCTCCTGGGCATAACAAAACTAATAACACCGGCAAATTGCTTCTTACCATTTTAAACCCTGACCTTACAATAAGAATCATACATATGCATGTACCTATGCATGGCCTCACTACTCTCGAAAGGTCAATATAAAAGACTAAGAGGTTGCAAGCTGCAGCCCCAGCTCCCACCACAAACATAGATTTGGGGTGTTAATTTTTTTTAAAGGGTGATCCCATCTCCACAGATTAAGTGTCTAAGAATCAAGCTTTCCATTGCTTTGCCCTGAAGCTCTAAAATAGTGGGGGGCCAAACTATCTGGCAGGTGTGCTAGTAGGTCCTCCCTCTCCCCAAGTATCAATCACTTCAATTCCCTTCCTCTGCCTGATCCGTTTCTCTGTGCTTTCTGCTCCCTGCCCCATTTGCCGCCATATTCCCTGCTCCCTCCCCAATCTGCTGAGTGCCACGCACCAACTGCCCATACTATGGATTGAACTTCCCTGCTCTAGAACATGCTGTTAAATGTGAGAAATCATAATGCAAACCAGCAGTCTGAACCAAAGCAAACCACCTCACCTCTCTAGTGTGTGCAGCAGAACCCATTTCCAGTGCCACAGGTTTCCACTGGCCTGTCAACAATTACCACCACTGAGGAAACTAGCGCCAAAGCAATGGTGTTTTAAGTAGCTAGCATGGGCCAGGCTGGTTTTATTTTGACACTGTAACTTCTTTAGAATTAATTTACTCAAGAGCTGTAATTCATAAATAAAAATTATAAAAAGGCCAATATATAAGCAGCAGATACTAAGATGATGATATATACAGATAAGTGAGTCTTACAAAATGCAAGCCTAGGATGTTTGGCATTTTCATACGTACCTCGCATAAGGCATTTTCTATGTCAAAAATTTCACCTAAACGTGGATATTATCAGGGCTCTGGCAGACGTTACATTTGTTGCACTTTACATGCTGTTGGTTATGCTATAAAAATGGTGGATCTGCCACAAAAACAGCAAACCCACCCCAAACAAGTCACTGTTTGAGACAGCAATTTCTCTGTGGCTCAAAACTGTTCCACCACAAATTTAACATCTGCACAGGTCTCTCTAAGCCCCTCTGGCCCAGTATCCCACAGTGCTCTACTCTCTCTCTCTCTGCCTCCAAAGGTTGTGGGGCCAGGGAGGGAAGGACAGACAGTGGCTGCCTGAATCCCCGATAGCCTGACCAGCAGCAAGCTGTCAGGGAGCCCTGCAGGAACTGGCAGGGGTTGACCTAGCAGTGCAAACCACCCAGTCAGCCTTTTCAGGCAGCCCTGTCACCTTTGTTGCCCAGTGACAAAAGTAACTGGGCTGCCTATGAGACAGAAACTTTAAAAGACTGCTGGTGTTCAACCACCAGCAGCTTTTTAAAGCTCCCCACTTGCATGCAGCCCCATCAGGAATGTCTGGCCCGGCCCACTGAAAGCCTCCCCTGGGAGTAATGGGAGCTAAGCAGCAGTCTTCTTTTGTCTCCTGGCTGGAAAGCATGTCTTTATGGCAACTCTGTTATGCTTCAGCCAAGAAGCTGTGCACATGTCCATACCCAAAAGCGATCTATATTTTTTATAGGGCTACAAACTTCGTAGCGTTACAAAAATAACATGTCAGCAGTCGCAGAGAACTAAAGAATTTGGGAAACCTAGACTGGAGATATGTTAAAGATTTAAATCCCAATAAAGTGAACGAGAAACTGGTATCAGGATTAAAAAGAATAAAAAGTAAATTACAACACAAGCGTTTTTTAATTAATTCATGGAGCAAATTCTGGGTCATCCTTCACATACACAAAAGTAAATTCTAAGTGTTCAGATGGTGAGGATTTTTACCCCCCCGGAAGGGAGAGAACAGATCAGAGCAGACAGGGTAATCACCAGTAGTTTTTTGGAAGGTAGACTGGACTGGAAACTACTCTCTTTACAGCTTGATAAATAGCAAGGAACTATAGAACTTTGGTCTTCATAGTCCATTTTCAGAACTTGATCATCTATTCAGTCTTGACAGTCCATATAACCTCGCAAAAATGTATATGAAAAGTTACTGATTGTTTCCACAGGATAATTGCTATGATACCCATTTCTACAATGTTTAGTTCTTTGTTTCTATTAGCCAAGTTGAGAGTGATTATAATAAATCTGACTGATCGGAGTATGAATTTCATGCAAACAATGCAATCAATTTTATGAAGTTGACTGCAAGTCAAAAGTTTTATAAACTGGCACTAGGTTTACCGAACATGCACTTTTCTTTGTATTATTAAATAACAGAATTGCTAATTACATCAATCAACAAATATAAAAAGCCTAGAAGTAATTTCTTTTTAGATTTATTATTTCAAAGGCACTTAGTGTTGTACATTTATATAGCGCCTTTTCCCCACAAAGCGCTTTACAATATACACACATACAGGAATTTCCCCCCCCATCATTGAAATGCAGGCACCTCTGACCGCATCACTGCTGCTTCAAAATATCACCAGCATGAGACTCCATACTTGAGGCCATGGAGATGCTTCTCAGTATTTTCAGTCTCAGCGTGACTTATTATATCCTTTATTTTCAAACTTCCAGCTTGAGCAATTAAAAAGACTGCAACTAGAATACAAACACCAGAGCTTAATTTTGGAACCAAATCACAATTTGTTCACCTTCACTAGATTTTTAGTTTCTTTGTCAGACTGACAATAAAAACATTTTTTTAAACTAGATTTTTTTAGTTTACCCTCAATGTAAGTTTTGGGACATCAAGACCTAGATGTTTAAGGATTTAAGGACCTGGTTTTATGAGGAAATGAGCGCTGTCAATTTCAATGGATGTTATGTTACAGAGATAGAGTTATTCCTCCCTTGTTCTGAAGCAGAATCCGTGTTCGTTTTTAAGGCAAAACTGAGGATGTTTATCACCCAGTGCTGTTAGTAACCATTTTGAATTGTAAAGCACCCTAGGTCTTGCTGCAGAGGATGCCATATAAATGTGCTTTGAGAGGTTTTTGCTTGTTAGTGTCAAAAAACACATAACTAAAACACATTTGTAAAAAATATCCTAAATCCACTACTTTACATCACTGAAGATGTCTCTCTAACCAAAAGAATAAAAATGGATATCCTAATTTAAGGAATTTTTTTTTTTTTACTTTGACTCTTTAAAAAGCTACTAAATCATTTCTTTTAAAAAACATTGTATTGGGGATGAAAAATTTCACAAAAAAAGCTATTATGGTAAACCCTGATAATATAGGGCAATAAGAAATACACTACAGTCATTTACAGCAGCACTAGCTGCTTCACTATGAATTATGACTTGAAAGTTTAAAATTTAATTTAAATTAAAATGTAGTAAATATGGTAGCTTTTTTACCTCTTGTGGAATGAACACACAATTTGTTTCCCTGATCCCTAAATGAAATTAGGCTTCAAAGACACACTTTTTTGATTAACTCTGTAACTGTTCAAATTTACCTACTGTGTCACTGGGTAGCTGAACGTAGTCATTGGCATTTCTTGTGTGAAGAAAGATCACCAGTAAGTGATATAGACAAGGACTATGATAATCTCAAAATTTCAGGTTTCAGTATAAGAGGGAAAGTGTTTACAGGGCGTAACAATTTTAACATGAAAGATAGTATCTAGTATTCACACAACTAAGCTACTCACTAACAGGCAGATGTAAACCCATACGCATATCAACTTTACAAAAAGAAAATAAGTATTTAAAACCTTGATAAAAGATGTACAGAGATCACATTTATTGCATATTCAGTGCATGCCTTCATGTTGTGCATTCCTATGTTACAGCATGTGTGCGACACCAAGGAGCTATCAGACCTTCAGTGCATACCAAGGATTTTTTTTGGTAGCATGGAATACAACCGAACACTCTGTGACCACCACACTCCCATGTCCTGATCTTTTTTGCGATCCTGTTAAATCATGTAGCAGCTATAGTAACTGTGACTAGAGCTATTTTTCATATAAAGCATTAGATGTACTTGCAGCTGTCTTTTCATTAGATATGACAGCTGGAATAATAACCAGTACTCCAGGTCTAGTAACTCATGGACACTGTTTGGGAACTAGTGGTGTATAATTTAAAAACCTACAAAACAGTTGCCTAATTGATCAGAAACAGTAAAAAAAAAAAAAAAAAAAAAAAAAAAAAAAAAAAAAAAAAAAAAAAAAAAAAAAAAAAAAAAAAAAAAAAAAAAAAAAAAAAAAAAAAAAAAAAAAAAAAAAAAAAAAAAAAAAAAAAAAAAAAAAAAAAAAAAAAAAAAAAAAAAAAAAAAAAAAAAAAAAAAAAAAAAAAAAAAAAAAAAAAAAAAAAAAAAAAAAAAAAAAAAAAAAAAAAAAAAAAAAAAAAAAAAAAAAAAAAAAAAAAAAAAAAAAAAAAAAAAAAAAAAAAAAAAAAAAAAAAAAAAAAAAAAAAAAAAAAAAAAAAAAAAAAAAAAAAAAAAAAAAAAAAAAAAAAAAAAAAAAAAAAAAAAAAAAAAAAAAAAAAAAAAAAAAAAAAAAAAAAAAAAAAAAAAAAAAAAAAAAAAAAAAAAAAAAAAAAAAAAAAAAAAAAAAAAAAAAAAAAAAAAAAAAAAAAAAAAAAAAAAAAAAAAAAAAAAAAAAAAAAAAAAAAAAAAAAAAAAAAAAAAAAAAAAGCCCTCTGGAAAATGGAGACAGCCTGAAGAATTTGAGATGTACCATTTCAAACATGACAAGAAAATAAATGAACCAAAAACCCCAGAATGAGGATTACCATCACAACTCATCTTAAAACCCAAACCTATACAGTACAGCTGCTGAATAGGTGTTCACCTTAGTTTGAAAAGGTTGCCAAAAGGGGAGACTGGAGAAAATGGCCACTAGCCTTATCCCAGGAATAAGAGCATACAGGACAGACAGAAGTCTGCCACTGACCAATGAAATGGAACTTTCAAGGAGCGGTGATAAAGGTTTCAGAGGGAAGGATGGATTTTGAGTCCATTCTTTCTCTCATTAAAGTCAATGGTAAAATTCCTATGGACTTCAAAAGGAGGACTGGTCTCTTAATCTGCTTCCCTCCACCATTTCCTTGGGAACCAAAATCATACTCAGCTCCCTAGAACTGTCACATTAACACAGTCCTAAACAGGAAATATTCAAGCTGCCAGAGGGATCTATAGATAAACCAACACTGGAAAGGCTCCATATGCACAGTGAGATAAGCCTATCATTTTAGCAGCAAAAAAAGTTAGGCACCTGCCATCTTGGTTTAGCCCACCTACACCAGAAACGGTGTACATGCAAACACTGACCATAACACACAGTTACAGAAAGTGTGTCTACCCAAGCTAGCACTGTGACAAGATAACATGCCATACAAAGGGCTGCAATACATGGGATAATTCAGAAGTATTAATAGAAGAGATGATACAAACCGACAACGGTTTGGCCAGGAACAAAAAAAAAAATGTAGTAACCCTAATTTTAACTGGGTTCTTCACTGAAGGAAAGGAAGGTCCATAAAAAAACAGATGGACTGACTTCAAATGATTTACATCCCTAGACAAATCAGATTACATTGATTTAAGCCCAATTTAATTTAGGCAGGTTTTTAACCACAAGAATAAGGACATTCTTAGTACATATTAATAATTAAACCAACATATACACAATTAGCAATATCCTACATAATAATAAACATTTAAATAGCTTGTTTTGGATTATTCTATACCTAGTTAATTTGTTTAAAAAACAAGCCAAGTAGTTTTATTTTACAACGCACTGTGCCTTTCTATACATTTCTTGTAATCAGTCTCTGTAGCACTGCACCTTTATAGATTTTATGATCCAAATTCAATTGTGTCTTCAGTAATTCTCTTGAACTCATAATTTCCTCTCCCATCCATGTGCAGATAAAACTGTGGAATAAAAAGTATGCATTAACAACAACAAAAGATATTTTTGTTACTCTTGTTTACAGCAATAAATGTTAGTAGAAAACAATTTGTTAAAAGAGTAAAATCTAAACCCTCATTGAACTGGTTAAGGAACAACTGAGTCCTACTGCAATGCCTGAACAATGTAATCACCTTTGAGAGACAGCATATTGATTCTTTTGTATATAGTCTCTCTCTATCTGCTGGTAGATTTCATTACAACTTGATTTGTTGGGATAATTATATATGCAAGTTACAGGTCACTTACATAATAAATACTCAATTTGGAGAAAATATGGCATTAATTACAATGTGAAACTGCATATGCTTTTGTCCATATAAAATTAGATATACTGTTTTTGTTTTTATACTGTTTTAAACATTCAAAAGGGTTTTCAGAATGCTTAATGTACTGAACAATCCTTTCCAATCCTCTGTGTAAAGGCAGAATTCCCCACCAGAACCTGAATGCATCCACCAGATTTCTTCACCTCTACACCCTTCAGGAATGGGTAAAACTATCTTATATTGTAAAGGAAACAATGGCTGCTGCTGTCATCATCATCATGTATTTATTTATTTTTACAGGATTAAAAACATCCTAAGTATTCAACTGTATTAAAATCAAATTCTTGTTTTTATAAACACAAACTTAATTGGCTTTTAGGGCACGTACAAAAAAGATAGACATACAACTCTAACAAAATGTAATGAGTGTACTTGTAAACAAATTCATTAATATCCTAATTTGAAAAACTTCACATGATTGTTTAGCTACAAGCCCCTCTAATGAATGTCCCCAAATGGCAAAAATACTCTGACTTTTGGATATTTTGTATGGATAGCTCTTCAGGACAGAGCTATCTGTATAATTTAGAACTGTAAATTGTTTCAATTTCCATTAGTATTTGTGAATATTTCAGATACTGCTAAAGGACTATAAAAATAACATCTATCATGCTTTAGGCAAGCATATTTGGTTGGAAGGCAAGATATTGGAACGTAATTGGATTTATAGCTCTTTTATGCACAAAAAAGGCTTAACCCATAATCCCCAAGAAAAAACAAAGACTACATACGTCATGGTGTTTCCACAGAGACTTTCTATGAGAGACTGTGAACAGTGTGATGCCAACCTACGGTAAGAGAACATACACAATAAACATTAACACATACAATATTTTAACTCATTTCCTGATCATCTTGCTTGATATTTTAAAAGGTGAGCTGTCTCTCTCTCTCACGTGCACGCGCACACACACACACACACACACACACACACACACACACACACACACACACACACCTTCCCCTTAAGACTTTAATAATTAACAGGGAATGTACGTAACCACACAGAATTTTTAAGAGAATCAGAAATGATGGTATAGGAGAAAGGGGAAAAGAAGTGTGAACAGCATGGCATTTAAAATATTTTCCTTTAGTTGATTTTTGAAAGGTGGTCTAACATGTTTAGCTTTTATCTTAAATAAATATACTAGTTTTTAAGCTCCAAGTCCTAGATTGGCCAGTGAGAGAGGTTTTATGGCACGGAAAGTGTAAAATTATCTTGGGATGTTAGACAGACTTAGATGTTAGACAAGTCTGAACAGTTTGTTTGGAATTAATTACTGAATTATACAAACTTGATGTTTTTACCAATTTTTTATAAACAACATAAATGTTATACTGCATTTCTACTTTATCTTGTAAACAATCCAAAAACAAAGTCAAAACCAAAACCTTACCTTCCGGCAGTGATTGTAAATGTATCCTTCTACATCAACACTAACAGCACTAGTACATTCATCCAAAATTGCAAACTGGGGTTTATGATAAAATAATCTTGCCATCTGAAATGCAAAGCAAAATAGCATTTGTGAATACAGAACCAGCACCACCAATTTCTATAATATTAGGAATTTTAAACAGAAAGCACTTAACTAAAAACTAGAAAGTTACTAAGACAAAAATATTTATCTTTAACCATTATTAGCCTAATAATGTAGACAGTATTTTAATCTTCTATTCACTAACAGAAAATAAATATACAGACACAAAAAACCCCCCAGAATTTCATATTAAAGACATGAAAGATACTGCCTATCTATAAGTTAATTTTCCTAAGATTCAGATGTCAATTTAAAAAAAACCCACAGTAATAATATTTACTGACTAGACATTGATTGAGCTCCAAATGAATTGTTCTAATATACAGAATTTTGTGAGCGTGTGATGGAGACATACCGCCATTCTCTGTTTTTCTCCTCCGCTGAGCACATCCATCCAGTCCTGAATACTATCCCAGCCACCCTCACGCTCCAGAATTGGACCCAACTGGACATTGTCCAAGTACTCCTGCAGTACCTTCCAGGAGAATAATGGTTATAGGTATAGCTTATATATGCTTTACATTGTAATGACTCCTCATATTAGTGCAGGTATATCTATTAATACCATTCAATAAATATTAATTTCACTCATCCAAAATACTGGTGCTAAAGCATTTAAAATCTAACCAAACTTAATCTACTTAATTGCCACAGCAATGTGATTAAAAATGAATGACCACTTAAACATTGTTGAATTTCAGTATTCCTTCAAGCAAGTCCCCAATTTCAAACTGTACTCCAAACATCTAGCATCTTATGCCAAAGCATTTAAAAACATTAGTACTACAACTTGCAGTAGTAGGACCCATTTTTGCAAATTGCTCCATGCAGGTATGTTCATGAAGATAGTGAGGAGCTGCTTGCATAGAGTAGCTTGCAGAAACAAAGTCTTACAGGGCCTATCAACAAATAAATGGGAAATAAAGTCAGGGTTTAGCAGACAGATAATATTCTCAACATCTCTTGGCATGTAATGCTAATGGGAAGATTATAAATGGGTGAAGAAGCAGCCATTCAGTATGGCATTGTTAAAGGTAAACTGATAAGGACCCTGGACTGGTTACAAATTTAAGTTTACCAAATAACTTACAAGAAAAGGAAAGGTAAGGTAAAAGAAAGCCTATTATGCTGCAAAATGTCTCAGATGGAAGGTTTTTAGGACTATCAATTTTATTAACATTTTAAGTTTGTATTCAATGTGGGGGGGGGGGGGGGGGGGGGTGGAGAGGCTTAAAAAGGGTTTCAGAACAGGTCTGTAGTTTGGAAAAACCTGGATTTTTTTTCAGAATATAGCAAATATAGCAAAACATCCCTAAATTTAAAAATAAAAAATCCAGAAAAAGACATGATTCTAAATAATGGTCACTGAGATGATTGTTCTTACCTGGTCAGATATCCCCTTCCTCCTCTGGTCATCTAAGGTATCTGGATATATTACTTGGTCTCGGAGTGTCCCAAGGGTCATATATGGTCTCTGGAATTCCGTTGCAAATGGTAAGTACAACCTGACAGACCTTCATAATAATCAACAAATACAGGCGTAAAGGTCGGTATTAAGTACTATCATACTTTGCTTTACCTGAGGAACATAAAACAACTTTCCTCTTTCAGGTTTCGTCAGTCGTCCACCAAACAGAGGCCACAACTGTAACAAAAGAAAAAGAAAGCTTTAACATTTGGAGAAAAAATTCTTTTAAATTAAAAAAAAAACAACACAAAAAACACAAAAACTGATATTAGTGTAGCCTTACCTCACCAAGAACACGGAAAAGTGAACTCTTCCCACATCCATTTGGCCCACAAACCAGAACATTTGCACCAGATCGAACCTAAAATACAAATCAATGTATGACACTATTAATGAAATGTAAAAAGTCTGCATTGGTCCTGAGATATGCCAGGGTTTCCATAGGGATGAGACCATCCTTTACATAATAAACTCAATTTTGGTAAACTAAAGAAGTCCAACTGACATTTTCTATGTCTATGTGATGGTGGGGTAAAATTATTGCACACTTTAAAAAAAATGCAAACTATGAAATATTAATGCGACAAGATCAAGGTTTGGGAGTTTTAAGTAAGATAAGTTAATTCAGTTCTTTTGTAAGAGACTAATGGTCTTTCAAGAGCCATCTTCAAGTTTTTTTTCAGTTTACTAGCCTCAATGAAGGCTGCTAGCTCACTAATTGAGAAGAGTTTGCTGGGTCCCATGTAAGAAATGTAAAATTTGCATGATCCTCTAAATTTCAGGCCAAGATCAACAAGTTGTGAGTTCAAGATCACACAGAAGTCACAGACAGGCATTACATTTCTGCTAGGAAAACTGCTGCTCTCCTGCAAGAAACTACAAGTACACAAGAGCCCACTTAATTTTTCACAGGTGAAACATGCCTCTTCTGGGAGAAAGATCTTTCTAAGGAAGTCCTCCCTTATGGGAGAATTTCTCTCGCAAGAAATAACATTTGTATGCTCCCTTACCAGACACCCAGGTCTGCAGAAGGGACAGGGATTCTTTTCCCATCATTCTACTCCCCTCCCGTTGATCAGTCTGGGAGGCAAAGGGAGAACTGCGGCAATGTGTCCCGCCTCTTCCCCAAACTGGAGACCGCCCAATTTGGGGAATGAGCTCGGGGCTTTGCCTGGATACCACCCTTCCCTCCCAGACCAGTCAAAAGCTTGTTTAAGTCTATCCCAACCATGCAGTTAGTTCAATAAAAAAAAATATCACCCACATAAATCTATACCTCTCCCATTTATATCTTGCTTTTGTTATATGTCATCTCCTACTTTTGTGTGCATTTTGCCTGCCTGAAGTGTAAGTCTTCCATGGCTGGGACCATATCCCCTTAAATGTCTACACAGTAAGCATCACTGTCTAGGCACTATTTTATAAAGTAACCAAATTCCAGGAAAATTACTAAACTTTGAATTTACCAGGTCAAGCTGATACTGTACTTTTGAGATTAAAAATAGACAAGGAATTATTTGGTTATCATGCTTTCCTTCAAGCCTAACAAAGGTCCATAAACTTCAAATAAGGCCCAAGAGTTAACATTTGTAGTACTATACACAAAACTTAAACTTAATGTACTGGGGAGAAAATTAACATGCAACCTGATCTTTATTTTGTCACAACCCAAAGGTGTGATTTTGTTTTTGTGTGTGCTTTGGCACCACTGAATTATTTTCCCGCCGTTTTGAAGCTTTCTTTGCAGGGTGCATTTCTTCTTTGCAGCACAGAAATGCACGGTGCAAAGAGTTCCCGCCATTTGTATTAAAATTCGAGCTCCATTATTGGCTTGTGTTAAAATATTCCCACGTGGCGGCTAGCGATTGGCTTGCTAGCCGTATAAGAGGCTTGAGTGGTTTCCGCCCAAGTTGGAGAACTTGGAGAACTCCGAGGAGAACCCCGCAAGGGAGGACTCCACGAACATCAGGAGGAGGAGACTTCACGTCTCGTGAAGATCTCTAAGCGCTGCGGAGCCTATTGGACCCAGCGTGTTTCAAGAAGGCAACAGGGGTCTGATCAGCCTCTAGCCTCTCCCCGTCGCCGAGCGCAATCCTCAACGTATCCCTCTTCCCTGCGCGCAAGTTCCACGGAGCCTAGCAAACTTCGTGAGAGTCTATTCAGAGCTCTTTGCTTCGAGTACTTTCTTCGGTTGGCGCGACGGGCTCGTGGTTTAGAGCCTCCAACCGGATGGGCTAGAAGAATGTTCACGGGAAGGAACTCTAATCCGCCTCTCTTCTTTTCTATCTGTAACTGCAACTCAAGCAAGTTTTCCTGCCTGCACCGCGACCATCTTCGGCGTAAGTAAAATAATCTTAATCAACCATTAAGCGTCCGTGCCTAATTCTAGCATGTCGCCTGCTTTCTCCGACCCAACGTGCCCGGGCTGCTGGCCACAGCCCGCGGCGCGAAAAAAGGGCCCGGATCGCTCCCGGCCCGCACACATTTATATTACCTCTCTTAAAAGTTATAGATTCTTATTTTCAACTTTAAATCACATTTGAGCATTTCATTACCTTTCAACTTCATTACAATTTTGACAGGAATTCTTGTTTTTCAGAATGACTTTTTTATTTTTACATTAAATCTACAGCAGTAACTAGGACAGGAAAAAGTTGAGCTTTCAGTGCCACCTAGCGAGCTTACTACATAAAACAGAAGTTATGAAACTGAAACCTGATGCCTCACTTAAGCAACAATCAACCTTAAATAATGCACCTATTTCAAGCGTTGGCACACAACCTTAAATAATGTACCTATTTCAAGCGCTGGCACACGTGCTCCCCTCTCTGAAAGCTTCAATCAGCTGACGGAGCTCCCAGCTGTGGGAACCCATGCTGTGCCCCCCTGGCTGGTAGTCGTGTCAGCTGATCAGAGCTCTCAGCCATGAGGAGGTAGTGGACTGTGGGGCGAAAGCAAGCTCCCACAGCTGGGAGCTCTTCCAACAACTGGACCTCTCAGCCTCAGGGGAGAACCATCCGGTCCTGTGGCTGGGAGCACTATTAGCTAGTTATCTGATTGGAGCTCCTAGGCCTTGGAGCACACCATATGCTAACACGGCTGAATGCTCAAATCAGGTGACAAAGCTAATAGCTGCAGGGGTGTATGGTGCACGCTGGTGGCTGGGGGCTCTGATCAGCTGACAAGGCTCCCAGCCACAGGGGCTCACCATGCACTCCCCATGGCTGGGAGCTCTGTCAGCTCATCAGGACTCAGCTAGGAGGGTTCACTGTGCTTCCCCAGCTGGGAGTTCCAATCAGCTGACCAGGGCTCCCAGCCTCCACAGCACACACGTGTGCTCCAGAGGCTGGGAGCACCGACCACAGATTCAATTAAAAATGTGACAGCAACCAGCCACAATGTTTTTACACATATTTTATGTAATAACTTTGTCGCTTATTCCTGGTTTTATCGCACCAGTAACTGAATGAATGTGTGGCCAGGTCACTATTTAGGACATAATAACTGGTTAATCATATCTTAAGTACAATAGGTGTCAGGGGCCTGAAAGTAGGTAGATAAACTGATAAACTTTTTTCACTCTCCCTTGTTTTGATGGGAAGGAACCTTTTTAAAAATCTGATTACATCCTAGGCTGAATTCATTACACTATGTTGTTTAAATTTCTGATCTATACCACAGCATTTCTGCAAGCATTTCTAGCTGTGACTGCAATAAATACATAGGATGCTTTTAGTTAGTTTAAAACTCAAATGTAGATTTTGATGGAAAAAGGGGTGAGGTTTTACAGTTTAATTAAAACATTTCTATTTTTAAAATTCACTAAAAGTTTTCCTTTCTACTCACGTAGACATTCGCTCTTTGCATTAATTTGTGTGCTTTTCGAAGAAAATACAACACTGCAAAATGGGCAGACACGGTTGGTTTTATGAAATCAAAAAGTGTTGAAAACATATACATGCATACACTCCAGTCAAAATAAGATGTGTAAATGTAATGCTACAGCACCAGACTAATGCAGGAGAACATCAAAATGAAAGTTCTATGTTGTATTGTCAAAAGAAAGTGAAATATAGAAAGTAGAATAAAAACTGCATTAAATTTGAAACCTAGATTTGAAAAAAAACCTCAGCTTTTAAAACCTAGTATCTGGTCAAGTAATACCACTAGCAATTTTTGATAAAACTATGATTATAACATTGACAGCCGCCTGAAAAACATGCCTTGTTTCTATTTTTTCCTTTTTTCAAATTAATAGAGTAAATTTGTAGGAAAGTCACCTTAATATATTGGAACTTACCTCAAAGTTAAGATCTTTAATCAACATGTCTCCATTTGGTGTTATTAATGGGACATGATCAAACCTACGGGTAGAATTGACAAATTACTATTATTGAGTACATATATACCAAGTATGTATAGTGCTAACTTGTGAAATCCGTGGAAGCTGGTATCAAAATATAGGCAGATGACTTACAGGTGAGTAGATATGCCTAGTCATTAAACCTTGACTGCTTTGTGAAATAGATTTCATAATATATGTATTTTGCTATGCTTTTTTAATAAACTGAAGAAGTAGGATGTAATCTGACAGGCACTAACTGACAGAACAGGCCCAGGTATGTACTTATCAGATGCCTCCAAAACACTTCAACTGTATATGGAAAATGTTAGAAAGTCAATGAAGAAATTCTAGTCTGGAAAGATGAGGCTTAAGCACCAGGAAAAATAACCTGAGGCCATAATAACCTGAGAGCAGAAAAACTTACTGGAAAGGTTGGGTCTGGAGAACAGATAGTAGTAGTAGTAAAGAGTAAAATGGTTATGAACTGTTTTGTGGATTAGGAATTATGAGAAAAATCTAGTAGATATTGAACATATGGAAGTAATATAATAGCATCTTTATAACAGAGTATAAACAGACATAACAACTGTATTGCTGTCAAAGGATAATGACACAAGTTGTTTCAATACAACCATTATGTTGTATAGTAGTGATTCTGTAGAGATACAAGTAGCAAAACCATTCCAAATTTAGAACTGCTTTACTCACATCGAAGTTGGGGTGATCTAGGTAACTTCTATTGCTACAGGATCATGCATATATAACAGTTAGGTATTAATGGCTGCTGTGTTTTCCCAAGCAGCAGCTCATCCTCTGTTTTTAAGTGACTAAAATTTCTCTTTATCCAGACTTGTATTCATAGAGATAGGAAAAGTTACAAAACCGTAGTTATTAAAGTGCTATCTATACATACTTGATAAGGTTATCAATATTGATGATTTCTCCAGAACCAGGTATCAAAGGAATAACTTGAGTTCTATCTGCATCTTAAATTAATAAACAAAATAAAACAAAAACAAGCATTAGAAAGTAGGCTTATGTATATCAAGAAATGACTGTTATCAATTCAACTTGTCACTTTTACCCTTTTCTTGTGATACCATGGTACGCTGATATTTGCCACTGTTCAACTCCTTTAATACTTGCATCAATTCTGTAATTCGAGCTGTGAAGCTGAAATGAATTAAGAATTAATCTTCAGAAATCTTATTTTATAATTAAATGGAGAAGGAAACCTCTAAAAATATTAAATTACAACTTGAAAATCATAATATTGGGAGGACTAGAATCACATTTCTGCAAGATGACTCAGAGGGCATATTATCTGAAAGTATGTTGCTTCAAAATGTATGTGTTAATTATGTACAAGTCGATATCACAGGCCTTTAGAATATAACTGCCTGAAACAGAATTACACTAAGGACCTCCCAACTCGAATATTTAAACTCCATAACCTCTGTCATCCACAACTGCCTCTTAAATTGGTCAGATATTTTAAACTTTAAAAAGTATTATAATTTTTAGTTTAAATATAGATAAATATCAGTATTCTGATACAAAATGTTAAATTGTGAACTTATTTACATACATATTATAAAACACAAATATATATATGGCTGTCAGTGCCAAACCCATAGATATTCAATAATATTTTTCTGAATAAGATGACATTTAACTTGTAAATATTTAGACTGCTATACTAAGAAAAATAAAGACAGGCTTGTTTGGTGTTAATTTAGAAGTTCCATGTGTAAACAGAAAATACATTGGAGACATGAGTTGTATTTATGCAAATTAAGATAACTTTGATTAGCCAATATTACTCTTACCCAGCCAATCTGGTCATTTCACGGCCTGCTAGGACTATTCTGCCCAAAGCTTGAGACATTCTTAGTAACATTCTTCCACTCTGATAATAATCCTTAAGCAGCAAAATATAAACTATGTTTAGTTATGTGAATTTCCAAAATTTAAGCAATCAGAATATTTATTTCTTATTTCTGTTCTATATTACTTACCTCCAATAGTTCTGCATGGTTACTATTTTGATGATGAGGATGAGTTAGATTCAGAAATGGACGGCTAACAACAAGGTAACCAACCACAGTGGCAAGATCTGCAAGATTTAAAGGTAAACATTCAACACAGTTTGTCATATCAGAAGAAACAAACCACTAGCACTTTGTAAATACTTACATTTAGAAATGATGGTATCTATGAAACCCATAGAGAACCGGAACAAGATGAAACTGTGCAAATGCTCCACCTGATAAAACACAAGAGAGAAAAATATAAAGTACATGCCAATATTTGCTATGGTGTCTGCAATTACACCAGAAAAGTAAATTAGATTATAAAAAATTATTTGTTTTGTAATAAGTCACAAAGGCCCCAATAAGGATTGCAAACTCATTGGGTCAGATCAGGGGTTCTCAAACTGTGTGTCACGGGCAACTTAAAAGGGAGGCGCAAACTTCCCACGGGGTATGCGCAGCAGCGTGGGAAGCAGCATGCAGCAGTGGCATGGAATGGTGGATGGCAGTGGCAGCTGCTGTGTGCAAGCTCCCCGTCCCCTGCCACTGCCATCCAGCACTCGGGGTCACGGTATCACAAAGTTTGAGAACCCCTGGGTTAGACACTACATAAATACATGCAGACAACTGTCCCTGCGTACAAGTGCTTACCAACCAATCTACTAAAAAACACAAAACTGAGTAACAAGGAAGAAAAGGAAAACATGGGTAATGGGAAAAAAGAGGACATAAGTAGCATTTAACAGGGGGCCAAGCCCCTGTTACAAAGAGTACAGAAAGAAGACCAGAAAGTAGGCCTGGCCTCTTTAAGATCAGGACCTTTTGGACCAACACGGGTCAGGTGCAGCTGAGTTGGTCACATGACTGGGAGGGGGGAGCAGCTCAGAAGGATAAAAGCTCACCCTGCAGAGGGGTTGGGGTAGTGGGGCCTTGACCAAGGAGAAGGCCGGATTGCCAGCCAGGAGGAGAGCAGACCCAGCCAGACCCTGTAAGTAGCCCCAAAAGGGGGAGAAGTTTCATTGGAGTTTTCTTTTGTTGCTGATTTGGTAAACTATGGGTTCGTGGGCCAGATCCTTGTGATAAGACTGTGTCTGTCACCCCGAGGAGGGGAAGAAGTTTATGTTGAATACTCTTTCTTTTGTTTGACAGACATCCAGTGGACTAGGAGTGGCTGTAAGGGGAGATGTGGAGCTGCAGGACAGGGTGTCCCAACACCATCTAACTTACTTCCCAGAAGGAAGCAGGGGGAGCTGCTGGTGACAGCCTGAGGGTCTGCTGCAGTGATGCAAGACTGAGTAAGGTGGCAGCAAAGTCCAGGGTCTTGGGTTCTAATCCCAGAGGGGTAGAAACCCTGGATTAGCCAAGAGCCTGAAACCCTGAACTGAGAGGCATAGATTTAGGAACCAGACTGCAAGACAGGAGGAAACTGGTGAGGCAATGGTCTAATCAGAAAACCCAGGACAATACCCAACACTAGGAACTCCACCAGGCAGAGAGACACAGCTTCAAGTCCCTCCCCCGCTTCTACTTTGAGGAGCAGTAAGACCTCCCGTATTAATGCTTTTCCCAACAAGGGGTGGCAGATGAATGGGACTGGGAAGACTGAGTAGGGCAGGGAGGCAGGACAGGCTGCAACAGGTGGAGGGATCCCCTTCCCCCTGCCACAAAGTGAAATAAAGATCATTTTTGGGTACAGTTGCTCTGGCTTCAAATAATCAGCAAATGTGAAGCGAGTAAATAATAAGCTAAACCTAAACTAAAACACCTAGGCATAGTTATTGTCTGATATTTATATACTGTTCTATAATAGGTATCACAACTTAAATTCCTCCTCCAGGCCATTTATGGAGTTGATAATGATTTTATTGGCTGCCTCTCCAAGATGGTACAGCATGCAAGGAGAATAAAGTATGGAGGTGTTTTAAAAGTAGACAGACAACTGCTGAATTTAGCATAAACTAGCAGAGCAAAGGAAAAAAAGAAACAAGAGTGGATAGATACTGGAACAAATAGCTAAAGACTGTGAAACTGATTACACATATTTAAGATGTGATCTGATGGGAAAGAGACAACCAGCAAATGGATTCAATGGTAGGAAACAGGTATATTACACAAGCAGAATTACAGAACCAGGAAGAGAGCTATAGCAGCAGGGCTGGGGTTTTTTTAATGAACCCAAGAGAAGCAAAAGGGCAAGAGGTTCAACCAACCAACATGGGAAATGACAGCTGACTAAAGAGCTTCAGGAGAAGTTTTTTAATATTACACTTTGTGTGCATTCCCCAGTGTGTTTCTGTTATGAGCAAGAAAGGCCCACTGCTTTCACCCTTTTCTTCACAGCCATGGATCCTATTCTTTTTGATGAATATACAATAAAAGCTGTGTTATCCGGCACTTTACCATCTGGAACGCTTTATTAACCAGCATCTGTCCCACCATGGCACTTCCCGTTTTGCCGCCGTGAGCCAAGTTCCATTTCTTCTTTGGGCACCACAGCCCGGGCAAAGCAGCATGCACAGGGCCCCCCTCCCCTGTCCCCTGGCTCACTGACGCCAGGGGATGAAAGCCTTGGCACACCGGATGTGGCGGGAGGGGTGGTGGTCTGAACAGGCCAAGGCACCTCCAAACCACTGGGCTGGAGATGAGCATAACTCTCAGGTAGCCAGCATATTTGATTAACTGGCACCCCCCATTTCCCCTGGATGCCGGATAACAGAGCTTTTACTGTACAACCTATCTTCCTGAATGGAATGTGACAGGGGTATCAAACTCACACAGCCCTCTGGGCTGGATCTGGATCCAGATCATGGAGCTCCTCGCAGTCTGGATCCAGATAGTGGGGCTTCTTGTGGTCCCAGATCCGGATCCACATCTGGCAGTAAGGCAAGTGGTGTCAGGGAGCCTTGAGGGTTAATGCAGTCATTGTGCAGTCCTCACCACCACCTACATTCCCAGTGGAGCTCTGTACATCAGATTCGGCAGCAGGCCCCAACCCTGAATTCCCAGTCCCATCTTGGAGCCCCACAGGACAAATTCTTAGAATCCAAGAGTGATACAGATGCATGTGCACCAAAACAGCTGGTAGTGGGGTTCCCTCAAAGCCCTTTCACCAATGTAGTTCTGGCTGAAGGACAGAATGAACAGAAACAAAACAACCAGAACTTCTGAACCACCATGACAATATTCCCAGAGGACTGGAAAAAGGCCAATGTGGTCCCTATTTTCAAGAAGGGGAGGAAGGAGGATCCAGGCAACTATAGGCCAGTCAGTCTTACCTCCATCCTTAGCAAAGTCTTTGGAAAGATTATTAAGGCTCATATATGTGAGAGCCCAGCAGGAAAAATTATACTGAGGGGAAACGAGCATGGGTTCGTAGCAGGTAGATCATGCCTGATTAATCTAGTCTCTTTTTATGACCAGGTTACAAAACACCTGGATGCAGGAGTAGGGGTAGACATCATTTACTTAGACTTCAGGAAGGCCTTCGATATGATATCCCACCCCATACTGGTGAACAAATTAAGAGGCTGTGACTTGGATGATTACACAGTTTGGTGGGTGGCAAATTGGCTAGAGGGTCGCACCCAGAGAGTGGTGGTGGATGGGTCAGTATTGACTGGAAGGGCGTGGGCAGTAGGGTCCCTCAGGGCTCGGTCCTTGGACCAATGCTCTTCAATGTCTTCATCAGTGACTTGGACAAGTGAGTGAAGTGTACTCTGTCCAAGTTTGCGGATGATACAAAACTGTGGGGAGAAGTGGACACACCGGAGGGCACGGAACAACTACAGGCAGACCTGGACAGGTTGGACAAATGGACAGAAACAATAGAATGCAATTTAACAAAGAGAAATGCAAAGTGCTGCACCTAGGAAGGAAAAATGTCCAGCACATCTACTGCCTAGGAAATGACCTGCTCAGTAGCACGGAAGCGGAAAGGGATCTCAGAGTCCTGGTGGACTCCAAGATGAACATGAGCCGTCAGTGTGATGAAGTCATCAGAAAAGCTAACTGCACTTTATCATGCATCAGCAGACACATGACAAACAGAACCAAGGAGGTGATACTTCCCCTCTATTGGGCACTGGTCAGACCGCAGTTGGAATACTGCGTGCAGTTTTGGGCGCCACACTTCAAGGGGGATGTGGATAACCTGGAGAGGGTCCAGAATTGGTGAGGCTCTACTCACCAAGGCACCCCTGGGGGTCACAAGAAATAATGGCCATAAGCTAGCAGAGAGCAGATTTAAACTGGACATTAGGAGGAACTTCTTCACAGTTCGAGTGGCCAAAGTCTGGAACGGGCTCCCAAGGGAGGTGGTGCTCTCCCCTACCCCGGGGGTCTTCAAGAGGAGGTTAGATGGGCATCTGGCAGGGGTCATCTAGACCCAGCGCTCTTTCCTTCCTATGCAGGGGGGGTCGAACTCGATGATCTACTGAGGTCCCTTCCGACCCTAACATCTATGAATCTATTAATCTATTCCTTAAAATGTTTACAATTTTAAAAAGTTAGCATTTAAGATATTCAAATCTTACCAGTTTACGAAAGGTTTTATGAATGGTCTGTTTTTCTCTTGCATTCCCATTATAAAAAGCAATTTCTTCACTAAAAGATAAAAAAAATATATATTTAATTTCTTTACACAAACATTCCACAAGACAAAGGCTTAGCTATAAAAATGAAGTTTTAGAAAACAGCTCCATTTCAAATTAACCTGTGAACAAGGAGGAGTTTAATATTACCACAAGAAAATAGTAGGACATAGTTTGTTCTTTAAAATGGGCAATGAAATGGAATTTTCCCACTAGCTGGTGGTCTGCAAAATTATGAAATCTTGAAATTTTGAAATCTTGGTTTCAAAATTAATGAATTCTGCTAGATATTTACAATTTACTCAAACAGTTTTTGTCACAACCCAAAGGTGTGATTTGATGTGTGCGTGCTTCAGCACTGCTAAATTGCTCCCGCTAAATTGCAATTTCTTTGCACGGTGGAGTTTTCTGCTGCAAAAGAGAACCCCGGTGCAAGGAAATTCCCGCCAATTTGTAGCTTTCTTTGCAGGGTGCATTTCTTTGTTGCAGCACAGAGATGCACGTTGCAAAGAGTTCCCGCCATCTGTATGCTAATTCGAGCCCCGTTATTGGTTCACGTGAAATTATGCACACGTGGCGGCTAGTGATTGGCTTGCTAGCCATATAAAAAGCTTGTGTGGTTTCCGCCCAAGTTGGAGGACTCCACGACTACCAGGAGGAGGAGACTTCATGCTATGTGAAGATCTCTAAGCGCTGCGGAGCCTATTGAACCCAGCATGTATCTTAAGCAGGCAACAGAGGTCTGATCAGCCTTTAGCCTCTCCCCGTCGCCGATAGATTCTTAGACGTATCCCTTCCTGCGCGCAAAGGAACCGGACCCACGAAGCCTAGCAAACTTCGTGTGAGTGAGTGAGCAGAAGGACCCACGGAGCCTAGCAAACTTCGTGTGAGTTTATTCAGAGCTCTTTTCGGACGAGTACTTTCTTCGGTTGGCGCGACGGCCTCGCGGTTTAGAGCCTCCAACCGGATGGGCTAGAGGAGTGTTCACGGGAAGGAACTCTAGTCCGCCTCTTATCTTTCCTATCTGTAACCGCAACTCAAGCAAGTTTTCCTGCCTGCACCGCGACCATCTTCAGTGTAAGTAAAATCATCTTTAAATTAACCACTAAGTGTCCGTGCCTAATTCTAGCTCGTCGCCCGTTTTCTCCGACCCCGCGTGGCCGGGCTGCTGGCCACAGCCCACGTGCGCAAAAAAGGCCGCGGATCGCTCCCGGCCGAGACAGTTTTCTTCCATCTGCTTTGTAGGACAATGATATCGCTTACAAAAAAATTCCTATTTACAGTTATTCTCCAAACAAATCCATACCTATTTGTGATAAGACGCGAGTTGACATATCTGTACTCTCCTTCATATTTTTGTTCAATAACGGTCATCTTACCAATGGGTCTCCTCAGACGTGTGAGGAAAAACCCTGAAACAATCAAGTAGGCCATCATGGTTGCTGGACCCTATAAATAGTAAAGAAATAAATAAAAATAAAGACCCTACAATCAAAGGGTCTCACATATTCCAGCTTTTACACACCAAATGAACTATGCCCATCAGAGGCTCCTTTAATTCTTCCATTCCTTTTCACAAGCTGCCTTTGGGCACTCTTCTAATCCCTTCTATTTCAGCAACTCCTGCAACTCACTCAATTCCCCGTCATGCTAAAGATTCTGTTTCCCACTATCCTCCTTCAATTTTCTACCAGCCTCATATCCACCCTTCTATTCCTGCTTTCCTCATCACCGCCATTTCCCCCCCATCATTCCTCTCCAAACCACTGCTATGCTCCCTTCCCCCCCACCAAGTCCCTAGCGACTCCATCCTCCAACCTCTCTTGATTTCTCCCCTCTTACCTATCCATTTTCTAGGTCATTATTTTACCCATAACATTCTCAGTCTTTATTCCCTCCCCCCCCACAAACAAATTTTACTGTTTAAGCAGATTTGAAATTTTGGATTTAAACCACTTAGCACTATTACAAAATACCCCCTAAAAAGGCACTTTCATTTTTCACATTTAGTAAAAAGTATAGTAAACAGCGCTAGCCATTAAGGAAGCGACACTTGACAGCAATTGCACAGTGGAATGCAAGACTTATCGCTTCTTTGTTTTTCTACGCATAGAATAACTATAGTTGTATCTCAGATGCAAACTGTTTACAAGTAATCTTGAGAAGGTAAAATAAATATATGAGAGCTTGTATTCATTTTTTTAAATGTTTTAAGAAATCTAAGATGTAACTTCACTTGTATCCTTATTATAAAATGTCCTAAACTCTACCTAAGAAATAGCTTAGCTCTCCTTTGTTGGAGTAATTTGCATAGAAATAGGAAACACATTTTTGCTGAATGTAGGCTCCCTTGATACAAGACCTTGATCCAGCTACAAAGAGTACTACATTAAAATGGGACTTTTATGTAACAGCTGAAAGGAAACAAAGAACTTGTTTGTCTTTCTAGAAGTCAGCTATTTGCTTAAATGTGATCAGAGAATTTGGAGACTGTCTATTTTATTTTGAAACAAAACAGAAACCTTTAACTACATTTCAGAATTAGCATGAAAGCAAAACAGATTATATCTTTTCTTTCTTTTCAAATAATGAGTGATCCTAAGATTAGTAATTCAATATGCAGAGACAGAATAGCTAGAAAAATTAGGGTTTGCTTACTTAAATATAAACAAACAGCATAAACCCAGTTAATTTACCTGAGCTCCAATTGCACTTGTTAGCTTGAAGATATACAAAAGTATATCCAAAAATGGCTGTAACAAAAAGGGGACAGTATTAGAATACAGAGAAAGAACATGTATGTAAAAATCCAGAAGAAACAGATATTCCTGCATATTAAAATTGGCACGTGCTACAATTAACATGCTACAGACCAAAGACTCAGATTAACTAGACTCCAGAAACAAAAGCAATATCCTAATCTGCCTGACAGTTCATCTTGATATATGCTCAATAGAATAATGACATCACATAAGTTTAATACTCATTTTCAGACTATCTATAAAGTATAAACATTTTGTTAAGGTTATTATATGGCATTCTTTTGGCTCAACTGCTGAGCAGAAGTGGGCAAAATTCCATTCTTACAAAAATGATCCTTCAGAATAGGGTGCACTGGATGGAAGAAATGGCGCATAGATAGCTATGCATTTGGCATAAAGAACATCCTGCCTGAAGGACAGGATAGATATCTTACAAAAGACTGTTGTAATACTACTGGATGCCATTCATCATGGTTGACATTTTCAAAGTCCAAACATCTTAAGCTCAGGTTCTGTTGCCAGCTACTATATAGGTATGCTCTAGTTCTGAAAACCCTGCCTTTAGGGAATACAGACCATGCATTAAGAACTTTAGTCAGATACATCTGCTAATGTATTTAGGCTCTAGAAATTAAGTGTGCCTGTCTGCTTGCATAAATGTATAAGGGTATCCCTTGCGCATTCAATACTCTACAAAAAAAATTAACCCACCATTCATGAATTATTGTAAAGATGCTTAAGAGTGGTCAAAGAATTACTACATGCAATAGAAGCCAAAGTGAAAGGGATTTTGCTATTAATACACACATCATTTTTGCTAACTTCTACAATGTAAAAATAGGATAGCCTTCTTGTAATGACCCATAAGTGTCAGAACTGTGAAATCAAGGTCTTAAGAAGTTAATATTCTAAAACAGTGTTTTTAACCTTTTTTCATTTGCGGACCCCTAAAAAGTTGTGAATGGAGGTGTGGGCCCCTTTGAATTGTATCTGCGGGTATTCACAGAGTTTTGAGTGATCATAGTCATCTGTTGCAGACCCCTTAAACACAGTCTGTGGACCCCCGGGGGTCTACAGACCACAGGTTGAAAACCACTATTCTGGAAGGTCACCTACCTAACTTAGAATCTTACTAAGCAGAGGGAAGGAGAGAGGGAACAGCTCATTTCTTGTAAATGTATACGATGAGTGCAGTAAGTTAGACCATTGTTGCACATTATTGATGTTTTCCCCCACCTCTAGTTTGAAGGTTCATACCAGGAGAGGTATGAACTGCAACTTAACTTCAAAAGTACTGCACAATAGCAATGTATGTAATAAACATTCTAAATTGAATACAAAATTCTCTTGACTTATTCTCAGATTAGTATAACTATCTTAGAATCAACGCAGTTAACTGCACTGTAGTGTACATGCTTGCATTTTAAGAAAATAATCAACTGAATGCCTGTTTCCTTTCAATTGTCAGGATAGGATTTTTTTAAAATATATTATTTCTAGCCTCATTATTAATATGAAGTATAAAACAATGTCAAGTATTTTAGGAGATTTGTTTATTTTGCCTGCTTCACTCAGCTTGGAAAATGAGAAAAGGTTGAAAACCACTGTTCTAGAACATTAAGTGCAAAAGTAAGTGATAATGGACAGAGGTAGTGTTCATCTTTATATGACTTCTTGCATATAATTAAACAAAAATGAAATGTTACCAGTTTCTAATATTTGGGTTACAAATACTACAAGGAAATGTTCTATACATTTTTGTTAAAAGAAAAGCATGTTTGTAAAAACATTTATGATGATGTTGGAATTTGAAAAATACATTAACCTTCTACACCTACGTCTGAACTAGATGACACCATTGGAGAATCATAAGTACTATATTTATTCACAACAAATCCACCACTGCCTGAACAAACAGTTATATAGAAGTAAATTTCAGAAATCTATTTTTTCAAGACTATTTTTTTAATGAGAGCTATAGCAATGTCAGATGAGTCTATAGAACGAGAGCTCCTACATCACCTCCACAGCTAACTTGTTGAATAGCAAGTCACCCTAGTACATATTTGAAGCCCGCTCGCCCACTAATTTGCATACAAAGAAAAACTATTAATATGCCTACAGGATATTAAACTATTAATATGCCTACACTGTTATTCCTCTACTCCACAGCCAGACATCATACCTGAAACACTTGGGTATAGAGAGGAAAACACCTTGTTTACCTTCTCCTGATCAGATTATGTATACATAAAGTCCAAGAGAAACTAGCAAATTTAAAATGTGAATTTTCTTTCCCATCAGCTTATTTATAAGACCACTGTCCCTCTTATGCTTTCAGCTGACATACAAAAATATCAAAAGATAACCAAAGGAAAGTAAGCTACAGTTTAACAGAGGGACATGGAAGTATAAACAAATGGTAAAGAAAGCACTTCAGGCACACATTATTCTGCACAAATGGTATAGCACATTATATATATATGGTAGACTCTCTTATATACAATCATTTTTCTATTCAAATGATCAGCTTGAGCTTTGACAAAATTAAATACTAAACATTTATTCAATGTGATTTAATATTCCTCAACTACCTTAAATGTCTGCACGGTATTCAGTGATTCAGAATGAGAACTATGCATTAAAGGTTCATTAAAGGAACTCACCTTGCTAAGGTTTGAGTACAGGTCCACTACACTATTACAGAATTTTTCCACATCCTGTGTAAGTAGTTGATCTGGATTGGCTATTCTGTTGTCCAGATTTCCCATTTTGTAATATGTGTAAGCCCTAAAACAGAAACAAAGCAATGACTAAGAAAAATCTGCACTAGGGCTTTTACTTAATTAAATAATTCAAAAAGGATTAAACAAGTAGCTGAAAGCCGAAAGGCAGTTCAGAACATTATAATGCCTGATAACAACACCATTTATTATTTAATGAGTTAAGTGTATTTCATCAGAAACTTAAAACAAATATAGCAGCCTTAGTGTTTCAAAAAGTTAGAAATGAACACTTACTGCAGATATTCCTCATAGAGGTATTTGGTAAGCCTTACTCGGAAACACAGTTTAAGTTCATTTAATCCATATTTCAGGAAGTTATTCACCAGGGAGATCTAAGAACAAATAGTAGTAAATTAATATAAACAAGTCCCCCAATTGTATTAAATGTATTGTCCAGCTTGCTTTATTACACTGGCAAAAAATTGGTTTAGCTAAACAAACTTGGTTAACTTAAATCACTCTGCACACTAAGACATAGATCAGGCAAACATGATCTCATTCAACATGGTCTCATTCAAGCCAATGACACTATGTACATACTTGAAGGCAAGCATGCGCATAGATGTTTGCAGGATCACGGGATCATGGACTATGATATTTAAAAGCGGTGAATCAAATCAATACATACCAGACATGCTGCAGCACTCATAGAATTTTAAATGGATTTTAATGTGTCAAGATACCTTTTTTAAAACGTTGTTCTACAATCAAACTTTTCACTCTTGCAATCAGTTCTAAAATGCATTTGGCCTCTCACGACTCCCATCTTAAAATGTTATCATCTTGTTTTGCAGGGTATTTTAAAATTTAAATACATTTGTTAGTTTGTATAAAAATGCCCCCCTTTCATGCTGGGGTTATTTGAATAACACTTTTTAATACCCCTAACACTTGTAAGCAGGCTGTGAGTAAGGAAAAGAGGAAAGAAAATGAACAATTTAAAAATTTTAAGTTATTTAGAATATAGTTGCTTGTACAAATTTTGTCTTCAATTCTAATCATATTTTTTTTAAAAATATGGCATTTAACTCTCTGATCTCATGTTTTGACAGCTGTAATTGACTGACAAGAGAGATTTTAAGTAAATATTTTAACTGACAACAGACAAAGCTGGGATCCCAACAAAATTATGCCAATTTTACTGCCTCAATGGGCAATCAAACCTGAGTTCATATACTTGCTCATTTCTTATAGCCAGAAAATGAAACCAATTTCTAGACATGACATGCCATAAAACAGCTCATTTTTGAGAGCTTTGAAAATCCTTACTTGGAATCTCTTCATAGTTTCTCAATTTATATTTTAAATTACTTTTAACAAAGAGATGGCAACAAAAAAGCACTTACAGCAGGCATTGCAGCGATGAAGTTGAACAAATATTTCTTGAAATCTTTTCTGCTGCGACCAATGATAGCACTGCAAACCACCACATGCTAAATGTTAGTTGCAAAAGAAGCAAAACTTATATACATCAGTGTATCCAAAGCTGAGCGTGAATGGGCAGGCCAGACTATGTCATGAATCACAGGGGAAAGAAAAGGATTGCTATGGAAACCTGTAGTACCAACTGTGTTATTAACCAAATGTGATAGCTGGCTTGGTGAAAGCCATTTACCTTCTCTTCCTTCTCCTGCTCTGACCATATCACAAATGGCTACAGAAACAACTATTGTATACAGGTTCGCAGGTTGCCATCCTCAATGGCGTTCAGTTGAGCCTCAGGTAGACTTTATGCCTTGGGTAGACTTCATCACTCCCCCACAGCATCATACAGATTTTGGGTAAGAGGAAGGAAGAAACAAAGCCAAAAGAAGAAAAAAAGTAAAGACAGCAAGAAAAAAATAAGAGAAGGGGCAGAAGGAGGGGTGTGCCTGTCCCTCTTGGCCTGTGCATGAAAGATTCAAAGAATGGAACAGATGAGACCAAAGATAATATATTTTTAAACCATGACAGAAGCTGAGATGTGAAGAAGAAAATGGACAGAAAGATAAAACTGGGTGAAGAGGACAGAATCACCTGTCAATCCACTGCAACAGAGAGGATCATCCACCACAATATTTGCAATCATTGCTCCAATAACCTATGACTTGAAGCAGAACTTACCAAAGACAAAATTCTTTAGACTTAAACATAAACTAAAACAGTTACTGATCCTAATTCAATAGAAGTCTTTAGTAATGGTGTTTTACAATTATATCTGACACCTGAAAAACCTGTGTATATCTTTGCCAGCCAGTTTATGAAGTATATTATCCATGTAAATCAGGGGTGCTCAACCACATATTATCTGGCCCATGGGGCAGGCTCAGAAATGTGATGGTGGGAAAGCAGTGTCACCACTCCCCTGCTGCCAATGTCCCAGACCCAAGATGGGGCCACTCCCAGCATGAGGGGTGGGGAGAGGGCAGTGCCAGGCTCCAGGGCCCAATCCTGAGATGCAGGGCTTGATCTGGCCCATGGACTAGCCCTGCTCCACTCATGAGGCCCGTGAGGCCAAAAGATTGGAGCATCACTGATGTGAATGAACCATAAAGCCAAAAAAATCCCACAAAAGAGACAACTTTGTATCCTTTCTTAATCTCTTATTCTGTTAAAATATAAATGGTGCCAAACTTTTTTTTTTTAAAGAAGAGTTTTTCTTTTATAGATTTGAAAGATCAAGAATGTTGGGTCCTCACCTCCCTAACTTTTTTAAGATTGAGTCCTTGGTTCAATCATAGAAAAACCTAAATATAGTGATGGCTTAAAGAAAATCTGAGTTCTAAATCTTCAGGTGCGACTTCAAACACTAGAGTTCACGCTGCAAAACCATCTCTGTGTGGACCGCATACTCCAGTATAACAATGCCTTATTTTTTTGTTTAGTTGATTTTACTTTAGACAGTGTTTAAGTTAACTGAAAAGAGTCACCCAGTCAAAAAATAAGCAATATTATTTTCTCCTCAGTCATCTTTAAGATAGCACTGTATTAAAACTAATATCTCATCCTTCATGCTGAGGTAACTGTGGTAGAGAAAGTTATTCTTTACAAGATTTCCTGATACTACAAAAATAGAATTAGAGGCACTGAGTTCATGTATATGGATGGGCAGGACAAATGAAGTAGCCCCTTGGATTCTTCAGGTAGTAGCATTTAATCCAAAGGTATCACCATTCCCTAGCAGAGAGTTTAGAATGGAAACTAGACAGGAAAGGTGACAAGAGGACAAATAAAAAAAGCAGACGATGGTGCACCCCCTACTCAAAATTTATCAAAAAGTTAAATATTTTTAGGTTAATCTTTGAAAACTATATTCAAAACCAATGTTTATTTTAGTTCAGCTCTTTGCCAAGAAAGACAAAAGTATAGATTTTTATTTTGGAAGACACAGGATGCAAGAATCAACCATCACTAACCCTATTTCATGCCACCAACAAGCACACAGGTTCCAAAGCAAAAATGAAAATTAAGAAATAGAAGCACTGGAGGTGGTTGTGTAATTTAGTTGAAGCTGTTCAAACTAAATTTATTAACAATTTGCTCCAGTACTGCACCATTTATGGAACATACAGCATATGTGAGATATTGTGCATGCTAATATTTTTCAACAACAGTTTACCAGTGGAATGGCAGCTATGAATTTAAAAAAGTATTTCTTGAATAGTGGTTTATCTCTGCTTACGATTGCACTGCAAAAAAGAGAAAATTGTATATAATTCAGCAGCTATACATATTTCTGACTATGCTGTTTGACTTACTGTATAGCTACACAGCTGAAAAGCACTAGGAAATACATGTTTCTGCAGAAGTGTAACAGAAACATTGACTTCATTCTTTGCAGAAAACACTGAAGTAGTATAGTCCTCCAGCTTGCTCTCTGTAAAAATAGACACTTTCTATATCACTGGACAAGGGAAGTTTGAAAGGAACAAATGTCCACAAAGGAACACAAGCAGAGATCTACAGCAGGGGTTGGCAATGTTTTTTGGCCAGAGCGTGAAAAACACCCACAACCTCAACTTGTAAGATGTTGGTGTGCCAAGGGTAGATGGCAGGGGAACTGTGAGGGGCCTGATCCTTGTTACAGCGGTTCAGCCCTCACCCCTTCTCTACCATCTGCCCTGAGGCATGCGTATACCCTTCACCAGCCATGAGCTGGGCCAGGGCTCTGCGGACCCCAGTACAGCTTCTCACAGGCTCTGGCCAGGCCCCTGCTGCCCACCACAGAGCCCAGGCTTGTAGCAGCAGGCAGCAGAAAGGCTACAAAAAGCTGTACCAGGGTTCAGAGCCATGGCTCAACTTGTTGCTGGTGGCAGGTGTATGCATGCGCCTCAGGGTGAATGGCAGAGAAGGGGCTGTGGCTGTACTGCCACAACAAGGATCAGGCCCCTTGTGGCTCCTGCACAGTCCGCCTCAATGTGTGTACACCAAGCAAAATGCTTTCACATGCCAAGCTCTGGTTGCCGACTCCTGAGCTACAATATAACAGAAGCTTACTTCAATTTAACAAAAAAATATATTTAGGTTCAAAATTATCAAACTCAGACTTAAAAATTAAGCCTTCTTTCCACGTAAAAAAATAATTTGTTTTTTCTTTTAAAATTATAACGCAATTACTGCTATAGAGGTTTATGCCATTTTACATTATTTTGCTAAGATATTTTCTTGTTAGCAGTCATCTCTTTTTCCCCACTCTCATGATGATACTGTTGAATATAAGCAGCAAGACAACATTTAAAAAATTATCAGTTAAGTAATTCAGATACCTTTCAATGACTGTTCCATTCTGAATCATCCAAATATCACAATATGTGCGCAGTATCAGCATAACAGCAATCAGTAACAAATAACCTGTCTAGTACAAAAACAAGCACATTTAAAGAATGTTCAGTAAACCACTACACATGAAGTTAAAAGTTAACCTAATAGAAAATTGCTAAGAAAGAAATCTTTCACTGCTTTATAAGAGGAAATGCTTACTTTATATTGCAAATTCAAAAACATACTGCTTTCAAGAACAAAAATGATTGCTACAGATGCTATAAGAAAGTTTGCAACACAGGTTTATTTCTTACTTTCTCAAAACTAGGGGCTTAGACGTGCATCCATTTTCTCCAGGGAAAGTCCCTGCTCTCTCAGGAGAAACCAAGAGTGTACAGAAGTTCAGAATTTTTCTCCCAGAGTAAAAGTAGCCCCCTGAGGAGAAAAATAACTCAGGAACCCAAATGAAGTGGCTTCCCAGACAGTATGTACTTTGCTGTTTCTCTCTTTTCCTTGCATAGGACGTTCTCTCTTTCCCGTGCATAGGACGAGGGAGTGTGTGTGGCGGTTCCAGCCAAGCAGGAGGCAGAATGCATCCCCTGTGTACTTTGGACTGGAAAAGCCCAGAGCTGAAGCAGGTGCATTCTGCTTCTGGCTTGTTCCCTGCCTGAATCACACTTTAGCACTTGGGTGCCAGGAAGCATATAAGCATGCTCCCTTGTCCAGCGTCAGCTGGGCTGGAACACACAATACAGGGAAGGGGAAGGCTGGAAAAGCATATGAGCTCTGTCAAAGTACCAATTTATGTATCAAATTTAGCCAGTTGAGGGGCACCTTTTTAGCCAAAGAATACCAAATATTGTCATCTGTGCAAACTTCTAATGACTACTGCTTAGTATGTTAATTCAGATTTCAGCTAGTTTTCTCATTCCAAACAGCTCTTCATATGCTTTTGGTATGTGGAAGATTGGTGCCTAAAAAATCATGGCTAGCATGAACAAGACAAATGGCGTCTAAAGACTCCTGGGCACTAGCTACTTTGGTCTCCCACTGGGAAAACACAAGCTGACAGTCTGGCAGGGGCTCTGGCTTGGTCAGCAATGGAAGCTGCATTTTTAGGGCTAATATGCAGAGGTAAAATCAAATACTGCTCATGTAGTTAATCTGTTTCTTGTATTTCTGTCAGTATTGAACTTACAGTTAATAACTGTTATGATTTCCCTTGTTTATGTAACAAACCTTTTTGCTATTTCTTATAAAACTTACTGTCTGTGGTAAATGTGATTTCAAAGCATTTGACAATCTAGGCAGGCGTCTTCTATACTGGGAGGGATCTGTAGTTTCTAGGACAATGAGTGTGACTTTTAAACTAGCTAAACCTCCTCTTCTAGAAATTGCCAATGCCTGAGTGAGACAGGTGGAGCTGAGGCACCATGGGCCAAGGAGCTGGCCCCTGGCACATCTCAGCTTGTTCTCAATGGTCAAGCAGCAGACAGCAGAGAGAGGTTTGGGACTATAGGACACTCCTGAAGGCGTGAGAGCATGCTGGAGTGCGTGTCAGTCATTCTGAAAAATGACACGGGTCACCTTGGGAGGGTGCAGGCAACACCGCAGCAGATAGATCAGGGAGCAGAAAGCACAGCAGTCAATTGGGAGGATGAAGGGGGTAGAAGTTTTGCTCAGGGAGGGTGTGGGGCTAATTTGTGGCACATCTACCAAAGAGGTTGGCCCTTACCAGTTTATGTCAACCACAATTTGCTAGGCTTGAGGCAGGAATTAAGGAAAGTAACAAAGAAGGCTAGACTAGATTAATATTTAATTTGTATATTATCTAATTATGAACTTGCATCCAAATTTAATCCAAGCATTAATTTTTTAATGTTTCTAGTGGTACATGCTATTTTTCTAACCTGGGTAACAGTGTACAATCCAGTAGAAGTGTGAGAACAATCAACGTGCTTATGTTCTCAAAGTTTTGATTACAACCAAAAGCAACATGACTAAGAAGCATAGCCTTTCTTAATTTTTATTTTCTGCAAGGCAATGCTTACCTCTTTACAAAATGTTCTAGGGACCATTATTTTCACGATTTGACATAATCGCTTAACAAAGACTTTGTCCACCACTGCACGTTCTCTCTTTCCTTCTTTCTGTAAAGCATAAGATTACGCAGTACAAAAAAAAAATTATTTTGCATTAAATTGTTGAAACATATATCTTAAAATGTCAGCTCTATACTTAAGCTACGTTGTTATATCCAATTAAAGAATCAAAACTGCTAATGCAACATTAATAACACGAAATTGAAAAATAATATAAGCCTTAAATATGCTACTTCAAAATTGCTCAATCTGATCATTATGTCCTGGATCAAACAGTATTTTTTAAAATATATCACATATCTGGTCATGGAGCACAACAGATTTAAATCTACAGCCTGGGTCTCTCAGCTGGAACCAATTTTTTTGCCCTCTACTGTTTAGCAAACTGCTGCACCTGTCCTACTATGCTTCCCTAAAGAAAAATAGCCAACTATTGTGGCAGTGAAAAATACTTGTTCTATTGTGCAGGTAGTTTTCAGCCTTTTTTCATTTGTGGACCCCTAAAAATTTAAAATGGCGGTTCAGACCCCATTGGACATTTCAAATGGAGATGCAGACCCCTTGAATTGTAAGTGTGGGTAATCACATACTTTTGATTGATCATAGTCATCTTTCATGGACCCCATACATACAGTCTGCAGGCTTCCAGGGTCTGTGGGCTACAGGTTGAAAATCACTGCCTTTTGCATACTCAATTTAGAAATCACCACTTTCTACATGCTCAAGTCTTTATCTGGGGTAATTCAAACTTTCTTACAGCAACTAATTTATCATTTGCCAGATTAGCTAGGTGGGGAAAAGATCTAGATCAAGCAATTTATTAAAAATGAGAGCCCAGGAAGAAGGGGCAACATATCCAACTTAAGCATGCCATCTCCCATCAATTTGGTCTTGATGCATCTTCAACTCCAGACACATCTAAACTGCTCTCATTTCTTCACAAGTTACCCCAATTACCAAGGTCCATGCAAAATCCACACTTGTCCAAGAAATCTCAATTAAATATAGATTCCTTAAAGACAGGGGAGGGAGAACTTAGGCCAGTCAATGGAAATAAGTTCTAGCTAGCCCTCTCAATCTTCTTGAATGAATTCCTCAGAACTGATCCAGAGAATTATATAGTGTATGCACTGGACCCTCTTCTGGTCACCTGGAAAACAATTCAAGCACTTTACAAAGCATAACAGAAAACAGTTGTTATAGATTAAGCTTATGTGAGATATTCAGAACAGTGTAATTAAAACAACGTGGAATGGGAAGTGCTTATCCAGGAAGGAATCAATTTTCACTTTGCTTAAAACATTTTTTTAAAATCTAAAAATAGTTTAATCTATATGTATATGTTAAAATAAACCCAATTGAGTGCAGTTACATTGAGGTCCCAGTTCTGCAAACATATGAAATGTCCCATTGACTACCATGGCACTGCTGTGGTGCATAAATTAAAAGGTGAACTGCAAGTTATTTTTAAATACTGGGAATGTGCTTTTTTTTTAATCTACAAAGAGGTTCTAAGTTTTGGGGGATTTCAGAACATAGTTATGGTGAGCTCCCACATTAACTGAAAGGAGATGTTAAAACACAGACACAGTCTCCCAAAGTGCTGGCCACTGAAATTAAATAAGTTAACAAGAAACCCATCAGAAAGCTTAATTAAAGTACCCCTTCCATTGACTTTGTAATGTCAATGTCACTAATTCTTCACTCCTGGGCCAAAATGGACATGAACTGCTTACAACAAAGAAGCAAGACAGAGATTTGAGGTCACCTTAACACACCATAAATCTGTGTATGTATGACAGTTACTTAATGCAGGCACTCTTAAAAAAGCTTCTCAATTTATATTTTCATGTATTTGCATTACCATAACTCATAGGAGCCACAATCTTCTACAAGACCTTACTGTGCAAGATGCTGTATTGTACTTTACAATACCTATTTTGCTGTATTTGATGTCTGCATGTGTAATGTTAATTTTATTAGATACATTTTATTTAAAAAACAAAACAAAACAAAACAGGAGATTATGCTTTTCCAAAGGCTTTGGTTAAAAAAAAAAGTTTTAAACAAAGGAGGCAAACAAATATTGATTTCTACTTATAATGAGGACAATGCATTATTCCAGGAAATCCTTCCGATGAGGAAAAATGCATTATTTCATGAACTCATGTCAATATGAAAGGTTTACAAGCAAACGGTGACCAACCTTGTATGCTAGTTTACTTTATGTTTGTAAAGCAGTTTTGAGAAGAAAGTGTACTGTAAGAAGCATTATCGTTTTTACAGTCTGACTTAAGCAATTAAGCCAGATTCTTTTCTTGGTTACTCAGATGTAAATCTGGAGTAACATCACTAAAACCAATATAGTTACATAGAATTACATGAGCATAATCAAGAATAAGATTTAAACACTAATAGTATGGATAAACAACATGGTTGCTATAGTACAATACACCTTAGATTTCATTCTATAGTAAATTTATTCTGTAGGGGGGAGATCACGGGAGGGTGGGGTAACAGGGAGATATGCAGTGCACTGGTGCTTTCTTTGGCTCTGCTGTACATGTTCAGTGAGCTCTTTGAGCTCACCAGCTGATCAGTGCAGGTCCTACCGGAGTTCCACATGCACAGGGAGCTCGGAGGTCACCAACTGGACAGTGAAGATCCTGCCACAGTGAGGTCAAAGCTCTGGCAGGACCTGCATGGACCAGCCAGTGAGCTCAGAGAACTTGCTGTGCATGCACTTCACAGCTGAAGTGAGTATGGTTGCATTCATGTCCCCATTCCCAATCCTGGATCCAGCCACGTTCTGCAGTAAAGAGCAGACACAACCAGTTCTCCCAAGCTAACTGCCCACAGCAGGTCCCATTACCATGCCTGTTTGTAGCATATGCTGGTGGTCCCTGGAACACATATACAGTGATCACACCCTTTTATTAAATGGGCAGACATCTTCAATCTTGTCCTTTCTCCAATTATTAATAAGGCATAGAAATTTAATGAATGATAACATTTTTAAGCAGTGGCTAGAAAATCAAGTTTCACTCTTATAAATGGGATGGTTTTGCTAGTTCCTAAGGGATAATGTATTTTTTCTGGACAGACAAAACATAGGTATCCAATAAAAGATGCAATCTAAAATGTAAATCTTTCCAGGCACTTTTTAGATCAAACAGAAAACAAACAAGCACAAGGCCATTTTTCCCTTTACAAAAATCACCCTCAGGAACTTTAGTATTTTAAGTCTGATAGTTTCAAAATGTAACTATTTTATGAAGTTTACATGACTCTTTGCATATTTTTTCCCCAAAGAAATGTATTGATTTAAAAAAATAGCAGTCTGATAATCAAGGTGTAGAAACCAACAAGCACAACACTATCCATTTTTGTAACATTAGTTCTATAGCTAACCACACCCCAGACACTTCAATTTTGATAATAAGAGGAATAATTATAACATGTTTAGATTTATTTAAACTAGTTTTAAAAATTCAGGGAAAAAGGATTACCTCATAATTCTGTAATGCTTGCTTTCCGCTTTTCTTACTGCAGAGAAAAAATAAAGACTATTACTTTCCATTAGAGCACTGGTGCTCAATCTTTTGACCTTGTGCACCAGATGAGGCATGGGGCTGGTCCACTAGCCGGATCAGGCCCTGTGCAACCTCAGCCAGCCCCCTGTATGCCTGGATCAGGCCTTGAGCTAGCCCTATATGCCAAGATCGGGTCCTACAATGCTCCACATGCCCAATCTAGCATGCAGGGACATGCTATGAGGCCCATGGCTCCCCACGGGTGGACAAATTTGGCAGCAGAGATTTGACTTCCCTACTGCCAAATTTTTGGATCCATGGGGTGCCGCCCTATAGGATGGATACCATGGCTTCTGGGGCTAGATCTGGTCTGCAGGCTGGGGGTAGAGCACCCTTGCATTAGAGTTGTTTCTGGTGTTTAAAGTAGGTCTCAAACAGAGAAAATTCCTGAAAAGGCTTCTCAGGAAAAATACCATCTACACACTACAGTGTAATCAGAACAAAGCATTTCACAAATTCTGAGAGCTGATGAGTTTGTGTGTCCATACTAAATCCATTTAAGAGTTTCTGGTCACTTTATTTATATTTATATACTTTGTAGAACTAAAGAAAGAAATCAAAAGACTACCTTCATAGGATAATCTTTTAATTATTGTGTTTCTATCTATGTTAGACAAGTCTGATTAAGACCATTTCTTCTTTGAAACAAGTAAGTTCTTGATTTTTGCACAATTATAAGCATATGCGTAAACGACAATTACCAAAGCCATTGATTTACTCTATCTACTGGTCTAGATTTCATGCGCTGTCTCTACAATATGACCTGTAAAAATGCAGATCAATGGAATAACATAGCAGCAACAATAAAGGAAATGTTCTTTTTCAAAATTAGGCTTTCAGATAAAAATCCAGAAATTATATCCACTGCTATTTTAACTAGCGAAAACATTCTATGAAAGATCAAGGATATTCAGCTTACGATAGAAAACTAAGCCACAGTTCTGTTTGTTGGAAACTTACTTCTATGGGCTGACTGCTATTGAGCTTTTTCCCCTGTTTTAAAAGAGTCTCATTTCTTCATCTTGGTACCTACTGGCATTAATCCAGACTCTATTATCTTATTGTAAAGCTTTCTATGGGAACCATGGTTACATGCCCAATGAATTCAAAAGACAAAGAATGCCCTCAAAACTGATTAGCAAGACTTGTGGTTGTGAGCAACACTATACAATGTTGTGACCAAATACATTTGACTTCAGAAACTGATTTGGTTCTCCACTACTCCAAGCCTCAATGTTATATAACATCAAAAGAGTCACATAATTATCACATAAGCAGAGTGCTGTGTGTTAATCTGACTTTTAAAATGAAAATAGTTTCTCAAAATAAGTTTCATTTAAGAAGGTAGTAGAGGCGGCAGGGGGGCTAGGCTACACCAGAAATTTTGGACTCCTCTCATATTCAGGCTATGTTGGTTTGGAGCATATCAGGTGTTACCCCAACTCCAACTCACATCCACATATGCAAATCTCTAGCTCAAGTTAAATGGTACTTAAATTTGAGTCACAATTCCATCAGCCCAGTGGGTGGAAACTCAAGTGCTGCTGATATTTGAGTTAGTAATACCTAGGGACCTACCACATACAGACTGCCACATCAGGAGGAGGAGTTGGACATGGAATTCTCCAGACAGCTGTCAGAGGCTGTATAGTCAAGGGACATGGTTATCATATGTGACCTAAACTACCCAGACATCTGCTGGGAGAAGCAGTCAGCTAGATCCAACCATTCATGTAGGTTCTTAACCTGCATACAGGACCTCCACCTAACACAGGAGGTATATAGTCCCACTAGGGGAAATGCCTTACTGGACTTGGTCCTGGTTATAGGGGATGATCTGGTGAGGGGGATCTACTGACACAAGGTAACCTAGGGGACAGTGACCATGACTTGATTGAATTCACTATCCGGTGTAGGATGGGAAAGATAACCAGTAGGGCAGAATTGCTAGACTTCAGAAAGGCTAACTTCAGTGTGCTCAGGAGATTAGTTAGCGAGACACTGAAGAACAGGAGTATTGGTGAGATGGGAGTCCAGGAGGAGTGGTCATTCCTAAAGGGAGCAGTCCTACAGGTGCAGAATGAGACAATCCCCTTGTGCAGGAAAGGGGGCAAAGGGGCCAAGAAACCCTTCTGAACAGGGAAATCCAGGAAAACCTTGAGGCAAAAAAAAAAGAGGCATATAGGCTGTGGAAGCAGGGGGTAGCTACCTACTTGGCCCACACTTGCAGGGAGGCACTCAGAAAAGCCAAAGCAAAAATGGAACTTAGGTTGACAACAAAAATTAAAGACAACAAAGTCCTTCTTGAGGTATACAGGGAGCAAAAAGAAGGTGCAGGGTAGCATAGGCCCCTTACAAGACAAACTAGGACAATTAATGACAGATAGGGGGGACAAAGCTGAGCTCTTCAACGAGTTCTCTGCCTCTGTATTCATGAACTCAGATCAGGACAAATCTCCCAGTTGGATCATAGATAGGCATAAAGGGGGAATCAGCCCACCAATTGTTAGCACCGACTTAACGAAGAGACACTTGGAGGGGCTGGATGTGTTTAAGTCAGCAGGCCTGGATGATCTTCATCCAAGGGTACTGGTGTCATAGCAGAGCCATTGGCACAGCTGTTCAAGCACACTTGGTGCTCAGGTCAGGTCCCAGAGGACTGGAAAAGGGCCAGTGTGGTCCCTATTTTCAAGAAGGAGAGGAACGAGGATACGGGTAACTATAGACCGGATAGTCTCACCTCTGTCCTCGGGAAAATCTTTGAAAAAGTTATTAAGGATCACATTTGTGGGAGTCCAGCGGGGAAAGCAATGCTAAAGGGCAACCAGCACGGATTCACAGCAGGTAGATCCTGCCTGACTAACCTTGTTTCTTTTTACGACAAGGTCACAAAATGCTTAGATGCAGGAATCGAGGTGAATGTCATCTACTTGGATTTTAAGAAGGCCTTCGATACAGTAGCTCATTATATTCTTATAGATAAACTGTGTGACTATGACGTAGATGATTACATGGTCGGGTGGGTGGCAAATTGGCTTAAGGGTTGCACCCAGAGAGTAGTGGTGAATGGGTCGGTATTGACCTGGAAAGATGTGAGCAGTGGAGTCCCACAAGGCTCAGTCCTTGGACCGATGCTGTTCAATGTCTTCATCAGTGACTTGGAAGAGGGTTTGGAAAGCACTCTGTCCAAATTAGCAGATGATACCAAATTATGGGCTAAAGTTAACACACTAGAAGGTAGGGAACAAATCCAGGCAGATCTGGATAGGTTGGAAAAGTGGGCAGAACAGAATAGGCTGCAGTTCAATAAGGACAAATGCAAGGTGCTGCACCTAGGGAGAAGGACTCACCAGCACGCTTACAGGCTGGGGGAGGACCTTCTCAGCAGCACAGCAGCAGAAAGGGATCTTGGAGTCACTGTTGACTCCAAGATGAACATGAGTCGTCAATGTGACGAAGTAACCAGTAAAGCTAACCGTACGCTTTCCTGCATTAGCAGGTGCATGATGAACAGGTCCAGGAAAGTGATACTTCCCCTCTATACAGCATTGGTAAGACTGCAGCTGGAGTACTGCATCCAGTTTTGGGCACCACACTTCAAGAGGGATGTGGAAAATCTCGAGAGGGTTCAGAGGAGGGCCACTCATATGGTTAGGGGCCTGCAGGCAAAGCCCTATGAGGAGAGATTGATGGCCCTGGATCTCTTCAGCCTCCACAAGAGAAGGCTGAGAGGTAATCTTGTGGCCACCTACAAGTTCATTGGGGGGGGACATTAAGGAATAGGAGATGCTCTGTTTACCAGGGCACCCCTTAGGGTAGCTAAGAACAACAGCAACAAACTGATGGAGAGCTGATTTAGGTTAGACATCAGGAAAAACTTATGGTAAGGGCTGCCAGAATCTGGAATGGGCTTCCAAGGCAGGTGGTGCTCTCCCCTACCTTGGGGGTCTTTAAGAGGAGGCTAGACATACACCTGGCTGGGGCTGTCTGACCCCTGTGCTCTTTCCTGCCCAGGCGGGGGGTTGGACTCGATGATCTACTAAGGTCCCTTCTGACCCAAACATCTATGAATCTATGAAATTCACTATTTCACAGAAACTGTGTAATTGGCAGTCTCCCATGGAATAGCTTTTTGCTGGCTCTTTGAACATAGCCGTTTCCCTGTGAAAAAGCGTGGGGAACCAGCTGTCTCCCAGAAGGGTGGAGAGGGGGGAAAGGAGCAAAGAGGAAAAAAAGGGGGCAGACTGCCTGTCTCCTGGGAGGGAGGCAGGAAAAGTTTCCATCTCTGTCTCCAGAAGGGGAGGGAGGAAGGGGAGAGGAGGGAAGCAGGGTAAAGCCTGCTAAAAGTCCCTGGGAGGGGAGAGAGAGTGCCCCTGCCCATGAAAGCCCAGCTCCAGATCCTGGAACTGGAGGCAGGGGGCGCAGAGCAGCACCCAGCTGGGCTGTGGGCACTGGTGGGAACACGGTCCGGGTTGCTCCGGCACAAGTGAGTGGAGCTCAGTCTCATGCAGAGTGCCAGGGCTCTGGCTCCAGATCCAGTGGCTGGGAGATGAAGCCAGAGCCTCGGGTATTGGGGTAGGAGCCACCCAGCTGAAACTGCTTGCCCAGCACGGTCATCAAAATGGCAGCCCCGGCCTTGATGCAACTGTGAAATTGAGGACCCCGGCCGTGCTACAGCTTTGCAATTGGCTGCCAGGGCCCATGAATTTGGTGGGTCCCTAGTAATACCGTAGGGATACAGTTATGGACTACAGTTCAAATTAGTACAACCCCCAGCTGGTAGCCCAACCTCGTTGCTAATGTAATCTCTGTGTGCTACTAATCAAACTATTCTGTGTAGCCCTAGTGTTCTATAGGGTGGCCATTCTACCTTGACCAAGGCTAACATGAGCGAAATAATTTGAGCAAACTATTGCAGCAGAGACAATCCCTGACAACGTGACTGAGGAAGTT